CTGAGGGTGGAGGGACGAGGGACGAAGGACGGACGAGGATGAGGGACGAGGCCGAAGGACGAGGGACGAAGCCGAGGGACAAACAGGACGCTCTCGTGCAAGAGGGGGAGAAGGAGGAGGAGGGGGATGAGGACGAGGAGGAATGCCGCCCGGCCCGCGCAGGATGGACAAGACATTCGCTGACATGACGGGCAGGAAGGGCTGCTGGGCCCGCGTGGGGCTCCCTTTTGAGGCGCACCGGTCCCGGGGACGATCGCGCGAACGGGGACAGAGTCGACCGGGTTGGACGATCGTCGGCGGCGAGCCCAGGGGGGAAGTGAGAAGGGACAGGCCTTCTCAGAAGGCGCGGGGGCTTCTCAGGAGCCCTCGCGCCACCTGAAAAGCCTGGCAAGACTTCTCCGAGGCCACAGTCGCTTCTCCGAAGGCGCGAGGGCTTCCGAGAAGCCCCGCCGCCTCTGAGAAGGCCTGCCCCGTCTCACCTTGCCCCCCGAGCGCGCCGCCGAGACAGGGGGGAGGGTCGGGGAACGGGGGATTCCGAGCGCTACTGCGTACAGCTGGCCTTGGCCCCGCCGCTGGGCACTTTCCTATGGGCACGTGGTCGTCAGCAGCGCCGGGCTGCGTGTCGATGATTCGCCAACCCCCGTGTCTCGGGACGATTGACATGGGCATGGAGAGATTGGGTGCGATGCCCAAGAGCAGTTTGTGCATGTAGAAAAGGACTCGCTGTCCGCGCCGCCGCGGACGTTGATCTTTGAAGACAAGAGGCCGCCTGCCCAACAGCGGTCGCTGTCGGTTTTGGACAACATTTGTTGTTGGGCATTGTACCCATGTTTCCGTATCCATTTCGGGCGTCCAAAGTGTCGTCCACCGTGGTGCGATGAGGACGACGACGACGACGTGGACGAGGAGGAGGACGAGGAATGGACGTCGAGGGCGACCGCGCAGGACGACGAGGCAGGCGGCGCGGACGAGGAGGACGAGGAGAACGAGAAGGGCGAGGGGTTGGACACCTCTTGGGATCCTTTGGGGTCTCTCGTGGGCTTTTGGGCTGCTTTTGACCATCGCGGCTGGGCTGCTGGGCGCTACTGTGCCGTTTTTGGGCTCAGTTTGGCCGTCTTGGGTACGTCCAGAGTCCGTGATGGACCGTCTTGCGGCTCCTTCCAAGCCTTTTCGAGGATTCTGCGCACCATCCTGAGGAATAAGGCATGGGACCAAACCCAGTTCAGAGAAACATGACTGAAACTGGTATTGGTTCTGGTGTCCTGGGTGCCCAGGAGCCAGGCCTCTTTCTCTCTGGGGGGGGGGGCCCTTGGGTTGGCTTGGAAGTCTCAGTAGCTGGGTGGCCTTCAGGCCGTCTTGGAAGCCATCTTGGGCATGAGTGCGCCAGGGAGGTAGCATACCCCAGAACCTTGGATCTATGGGAACAGTTCATATATACATGTGGAGTACTACGGGACGAATGCTCCGGCAGTCCTGATTGTATGAGCCTTGGGGCACTCGACTACGGTCCCAAGGCACAGCGGATTGACGAATTTCCTTTTACTGCCTGCAGCACGGTGGCGGATCTCGAGGTCGCCCCCTTTCCCGTCCATCCCTCGCTTTACACTCCCCCTACTGCCTTCTTCCCTCCTACATCCTCCTATTCTCGCTGTCGTTCCTCCTCTCCTGTTGCCCTTCTCTCCCCCTCCCCCCTCCCCCCCGCCCTCGGTATCCCCATCAGCCTGGGGGTGTCACCACTGCGCGCATCGACCACCGCCAGAGGAGCCGCCTCGTGGCTTCGCATCTTCATCGGCCACGCGCAGAGAGGGTAGGGGGAGGGGGAAGGCACCGTAGGAGGAGGCTGCTCCTCAGAAGGCGCGTGCCTTGTCTGTAGATGCAGGGCCGGCGCTCTCTCAGAAGCAGGCTCCTCCTACGAAGCCTTCTCCCCTCTCGCTCCCCCCTTGCAAAGAGGAGCCACCTCGTGGTTTCGCATCTTCAGCTCTCGTGGCCCAGGCGTCGCGGATCGACCTCGCCCCGTTTCTGCCCCTGCTGCTTTCCCGCCCTCTGGCCGCTCCCGGACCTCCAGCGTCGCGTCTCTCTCACGACGTTCGGGCGGGCGGCTGTGGGGATTTGCCCGCATGATGGGTGACGATCACGGCCCTGACCCTTCAGAGACCCTGTGGGGGCGAGCCGGGGCACGAAAGGGGCCTCCAGGGCCCCTCACGTCACCCACATCTAGGTCCCCCCCCATTACCGCCTGCCCGATTCTTACGACGTGTTTGGCAGCAAATCATGTGCATGTGGGCCTTGCATGTTCTCGAATGTTTGTGCTTCGAGCGCACTAGCCTCGCCAAGCGTCTGGTAATGGATTAGAAAGCGCCGGTTCAGCGTCGAGTGGCGTCGAAACAGTGCGATCGGCGTAGATTCTCGTCGGTTCGCTCCGGCCAGCGTCGACTCGCAAGGACCAGCAAGGTGACATAGGAGGCCTCCATGAGATCCCACAGAAGACGCGGCACCAGGAGGTCCCGACCCCATCCGAAAGACAGGCTTGCCGTCGCGGACCTCTTTCTGTTGGTTGTCTTAGGGCTTGGGGCCCGAGGTTTAGCGGGCGGGGCTAGGACAAGGGCTAGTCGTCCCAGAGCGTTCCAGAAAGCTCTGAGAAGGCCGCGGCGTCTGTTACATCTTCCAAAACCGCTGGCTCTCAAATATTCCGATGTGTTGGGCGTCGCGTAATGGGGGGGCGATGCATGGGGGGCGACAGCGAGGGCTGCGGAAAAGGGGCCCTTTAAGGCCACTGAAGGGGCCCTGCACGGTCCAGAAGGAAGTCTTTGGGGCCCGAGAAATTAACCATCATTCTCCCCCCACCGCTGATCGCCCCCCCATCAGGCGACGCCCGAATCTATCTTTGTCCGATGTTGTCCTTGTCCTGGCTTCGGGAAGACTCGGCGGCGAGCGAGGTGGAGAAGTTGGAAGGATAATGCCTTCTCAGAAGGCGGCGGGACTTCTCAGAAACCATCGCTTCCTTGTGAGGTTGTTTGCGTCTTCCAGGAAGCCTTAGAAAACTTCTCAGAAGGCCGGGGGATTTCCGAGCCTTCTGAGAAGGCCCCTCCAGACTCGTTTCCCCCCCGGGCGCATCGCCAAAAGACAACCTCCGCAAGCCTCTACCGTGGGAAAGCACCGCCGCGAACCTCGTCGCAGTACCGCCCCAGCAAGCCTCGCGCCTCGCCAGCCTTGCGCGCGCGTCCCTCTTCAGTGGCGCGCTGCAGAGGACGGCACCTGCGAAGGGTGGGGGCTTCCCGGAGGATTTGTTGGGGTGGCTGGTCGGTTGGCTAACGAAACAGTAGTAGGAGTAGGGGATCGCAATCCGCACGCCGACATTGTGCCGCAGCTGTTTGGGAGCAGGTGGCGTTCATCGCGCCCGAGGCCCCCTCTTTGCGAGGGCTCGCTGGTGGTTCCAGCGGGGCCTGCCAACTGCCAAAGATCAGCGGAGGTTGAAAAAGCGAGATTGCCCATCATCGCGGGGCTTCCCAGGGTGTTCTTGAAGCAAGCCTGGGCCACCACGCTGGTCCTGGGTAGGCTGTGCTGCCCGGCGGAGGGGGAAGAGGAGTGGAGAAGCAGGCAGACGACGACGAACGCGCAGGCGGGAGGTCAGGGCCGGCGGGGCAGGCGGGCAGGCGGAAGAGGGGCCGGGCGGAGACAGCAGGCAGGGAGGGGGGACCCGAGAAGGGGGGTGGGGTGAGCCGAGAAGGCGCCCCGCCTCCCAGAAGGCTACCTTCGCGCACGATGCCCTCCGCGAAGCCCCTGAGGAGGAGGCGGGCCCCCCCTGGGAGGCCCCTTTGCCTTCTGAGATGGTCGCCCCCCCCCCCCCCAGCCCCCGACCAAAGTCTGCTCAGAAGACGACAACGACCACGACGAGGATGAGGAGGAGGAGGAGGTCCCCCCCCGCCCCCGACCAAGATCTGGCCAGAAGACGACAGCGACCATGACGAGGAGGAGGAAACACTATGCTTGCCTCCAGGGTTTCTTGGGTTGGGTGTCGATGGTTCTGCGATGGAAAGCGTGACCTTCCCACACCAACAGTCACTGGACGTCCTGGGGTCTCAGGGTTGGGGTTCCTTTGTGGAAGATCTCCATCTCCAACAGCGACGGTGGCGTCGACGGTGACGGCGACGGCGACGACCCGCGCGCCGCCCAGGCTCCGCTCGCCGCGAGGCGCACCTCGCCCTGCAGCGACGGCGGCGTCGGCGGTTACGGCGACGACCTGCGCTCCGGCGGCCCCGCGCGCCGCGAGGCGTACCTCGCCCTGTTCCCGAGGACGTTCGACGTGTACGGCGCCGCGGGCTCCAGGCTTCGCCCGCCTGGGCGGGCGGCGCCAACCCCCTCTCGCGGGTCTTGCGTCGGCGGGCGGGAGCCGCGACGGGGGGGGGGATGGTGCCGACGACGATGACGTCGTCGGCATCGGCATCGGCATCGGCACGCGCCATCGTCATCATCGAGGGAGGGTGTCAGAGGAGGGTGTCGGGCCGAACGAAGGGGGGGGATTGGGAAGGGTGGGGTTACGAAGTCTGCTGCATGCAGCTGGTTTCGGCCCCGCCGTCGGGCCCATTCCTCGATACATGGGCGCCTCCCGGCGCCGGGAGGCGCCGGGAAAATCAGCTACGTGAGCTGACTCTCAAACCCCCCCCTTTGCTATCCCCCCCTCTCGCCCGGCCCGAGAGGAGGAGGAGGAGGAGGAGGAGGAGGAGGAGGAGGAGGAGGAGGAGGAGGAGGAGGAGGAGGAGGAGGAGGAGGAGGAGGGGGGCCGCCGCCCTCTCGCCGGGCGATTTCGCTCATCCACGTGCGTTTCGCCAGAGGTTTTCGATGATTTTTGGACGTCGACTGGCTTCCCCGCTGGCGTCCACTCGGAATGCGGTGCCGAGCGCACGTGGAGTGCCCATGGCAGCGTGCAGTAATGTTGTGGAAGACGATCACAATGGAGAGGAAGCAGGTTGCCAAATATGTTTTCAGATATCTATAGCATGTGTTACACATGTTTGAAACATGCCAAAACATGTTTAAAACATGTTTGCAACATTGTTCCTACATTTTAAACAAATTTTGAATTCAATTCAATGACGGTCGTGCTAAGAAAGGGTTTCTGGCAATCTTCGAGGGTGGAGGAGAGGGAGGAATGGGGACTCCTACATGCTCGCGTCGCGGCCAAATCACGACGGGGGCCCTCGCTGGGCTCTGGGACCGTCAAACACCCGGGGATGAATCACCAGCCCTGGAGAAAGGGTCGGAGTTTCCGAGGGGGAAGGCGGTGCAAGGAGTGTGGGGAGTGAGGAGAAGGAGGAGCAGGGCGGTGAAAGGAAGGCAGACGAGGAGGGAAAAGGAAGAAAAGGAGGAGAAGGCGGAGGAGGAGGAGGAGGAGGAGGAGGAGGAGGAGCAAGAGGAGGAGGAGGAGGAGGAGGAGGAGGAGGAGGAGGAGGAAGAGGAGGAGGAGGGAAGAGTGAGCAGGAGGAGGAGGAGGAGGAGGAAGAGGAGGAGGAGGAGGAGGAAGAGAAGGAGGAGGAGGAGAAGGTGGAGGAAGAAGAAACTTAATAATAATAATACTAATAATAATACAAATGCAAATAATAATGAAAATACAAATAATAATAATAATAATAATAATAATAATAATACTAATAATAATAATCATAATAATAATAATACTAATAATGATAATAATAGTAATAATAATAGTAATCATAATAATGATAGTAATAATAATAATAATAATCAGAATAATAATACTCATAATAATACGAATAATAATAATACGAATAATAACAACACGAAGAAGAAGAGAAATAATAATAAGAAGAATAATAATAAGCAGCAGAAGAAAAAGAAGAGCGTGCCCTGGCGGACAAGCGGCGCCGCTACCCGTCGGGCCGCGCGCCTTGGCCATTTTTGCCGCTGGCGCTGGAGACCGGCGGCCGCCACGGCAAGGCGGCACTCCAGCAGCTGCGCTGGCTGGCGCGGGACCAGGCGCAGGGCCTCGGCGACGTCCCGGCTGCGGCGGCGGCCGCCAGCGCGCTGATTCGGCGGTGGTGGGGCGCGTAGCGCTCCACCGGACCACCGCCCGGCAACTCCGCACAGCCGTGGGCGGCGATAGCCGGGCGGCGGGTGCGGCCCGGCTGGCCGCGGAGCTCGCCAGCTGAGCAGCCGCGAGGCGGTCTGGAGGCGCGGGCGGGTTTCGTCGTGGCCCGCTACTGGTTCGCCACGCTTTCGGCGGAGCTCAGGGAGAGGGCGTTTGCGACCTATCTTCTTGTGCTGTCTCTGGAGGAGGAGGAGGAGGAGGAGGAGGAGGAGGAGGAGGAGGAGGAGGAGGAGGAGGAGGAGGAGGAGGAGGAGGAGGAGAGGAGGAGGAGAGGAGGAGGAGTAGGAGCAGGAGGAAAACGAGCAGCAGGAGCAGGTGGAGGGAGGAAGTGAACAACTGAGGAGGAGGTGGAGGAAGTCGGTGGAAGGAGGGTGGATGACGAGGGACGATGGAGGCGTGAGGAAGAGAAGGAATATAGATGCGACGCGCTTAGCCCGCCTTGGGGCCTCTGGAGGGTGGCCCTCGCCGCCACGGTTGGATTTTCTGGGAAGGGGCGGCCCTCGGTGCCACGGCTGGATCCGCTTCGAAATCCTGGCTTGGCTACGTTGCGTTCACGACAAGTCCTCGGCGGCCGAATGTGCGCAGGGCGAAAGAACAAGGGAACTACACATGATAACAACATCAAAAGAGACAGCGGAGGAGGACGAGGACAAAGGGAAGAGGGAGGGATAATTCGCGGGCAGAAGGAGGGAGGAGAAGGAGGAGAAATGGACGAGGACGGGGAGTTGGAAGAGGGGGAGGGGGAGGAGGAGGAGGAGGAGGAGGAGGAGGAGGAGGAGGAGGAGGAGGAGGAGGAGGAGACGGAGGAACTGGAGGAACTGGAGGCGAGTCCAGAGCGGGATCCGGGGGAAATAGGAGGCCGAGGAGGAGCAGGAGGGGGAGGCGCAGGAGGATGAGGAGGAAGAGGAGGAGCAGGAGAAGGACGAGGAGGAGGAGGAGGAGAAGGAGGAGGAGGAGGACGAGTAGGAAAGGGAGGAGGAGGACGAGGAGAAGGAGGAGGAGGAGGAGGGATAATTGGAGGAGAACGGAAAGGAAAGGGGGGAGAGGGAGGGACGAGGGAAGGTTGATGGAAGGAGGAGGAATAGGAACAGAAGGCGAGGAGTGAGAGATACAGAGAGAGAGAGAGAGAGGCAACGGGAGAGAAAGCGCGAGAGAGAGAGAGACACACATCAATACAACACATACATACAGAGAGAGGGAGGGAGGTGGAAAAGAGAGGGAACAACAGGGGCTGAAGCGGGATGGTGGGAGAGGGAGGGAGGCACAGCGAGGAGCGAGGGGAGGAACAAGCTACGAACGCTCGCGTCATACCTGGCGTCATGCTTCCCCCCTTCTGCCTGCCGCGCCACATCTGACGTCATGCCTGTCCCCCCCAGACTTTCCAGGGGGTTGAAGTCCTCTGTAGTTTCAGAGCTTGGCGTTGGACAAATGTCGGACGAGTTTTTAATCATTTATCCGACGCCCGATTCAAGCATGCCGCGCAACAACCACCCTGGAGGAGGCACAACGCATAGGCGAAGAAGCAGGGGGCGGCCAGCGCCGCGGCGAGAACGCCGTCCCGCTGGGCGGAAGCTACATGTAAGCCCACGCGGTGTACGCGGTAGGGAAAACATTGTTGCGGATGCAGGGCCACCCTCAGCGGTGCGAGGCAGACATGTGGAGGAGGCAGCGGTGCGAGGCAGAAGTGTAGAGGAGGCAGACAGAGGCACCCGCAGGTGCCTGCGCGCCCTGCACGGAGCCATGGCGCGCGTGGCCGACAAGGGTGAGGACGTCATGGTGCGCCTGGCCCTTGCGCTGAGGATCCGCCGCCCAGCTGCCTCGGTCGCAGCGGCGCGGCTGGCCCCGGGGAGGGCACGGGGGCGGCGGAGCAGAAAGGGGGCTACAGTCCAGGTTGACAGGCTTCGGGCTTCGCGCAAACAGCACCCCCAGGTAGTCCTGGTTGACCTCAGACAGCCCCCCGAGAATTTTCAGGGGCGGTCTCAGCACCGTGGCGCCGCCTCCCGCGGCGCCCCTGGGGCGCTCCGCGTTCCAAAGTTGAGGCGTTAAGACCGCTCTGGGATATTCGTGGGTCCTGCTGAGCTAGTTGGGACGACCTGGGGAGCGCCGGAGCAGAAACGGGGAAGTACAGCTTAGGCGCTGCATAATGGGAGGGGGGACGAAGTCATCACCGAGCGCGTTCCTCTACTAACAAAGTGCGTGTTCGCAAACATTCGAAAACAAAAATCACATATTCGCTTCGATATAATGGATCGTAAATCCCTTCGGCGGGTCCAAACCATTTGCGAATATATACTATGCGGGAACAAGCTTGTTTACGTTTAGGCCTCTCAGGTGGGGTCCGAGTAGATGTGGTCGGAGGATCGCGCCGCATACGGCTTGATGCGGAGCCCAATTTTCCCCACTCCAACGTCACCGATTCATCGCCGACGTCGCCAGTGCATCGCCGATGCATCGGCGATGCGTCGGCGATGCGGCGCAACCCTCGGACCCCATCTACTCCGACCCCATCTGAGAGGCCTCTTAAGAGTGGTGGGGTGGAGACGTGTGCACCCGTCGTCCACCTTCGGGGCCCTGCAAGGGGCTGCCTGGCGCGCCGGAGCAGATTGGGGCAGGACAGCTCTGCGGCGCCCACGGGGGTGGCGCGAGGGGGGCGGCCTTCTGAGAAGCATCCGGGGCCTTTTTCAGAAGGCCCTGGAGGCTAGCCTCTGGGGATGCTTATTCGGAGCTTGGCAGGCTTCTGGGAAGCCCCCCATTCCTTTTTGGACGCCCCGCCGCCTTCCCAGAACACCCCTCCATCACGCCACTCCAGTGCGGGCGGCGCCAATCAGCTGGGACGCGCACCAACAGATATGACAGATGTTTGCGAGGTGTTTCTTTGGCCCTAGAGAGCGTTTGCAGCGCACCCCCCCGACGGGGTTCCAGGCTCATTGTCAGTCGACAAGTCCTCGGGATTTGGGGTTTCGGTTGCTCGCGGAGGGTTCTTGCTACCGACTGCCCACTTGAGACCCCTTCACAGCCAGAAATCAGACAGCCAACACAGAAGGGAAACGTCCACATTGAAGCCATGAGGCGGCTCCGTTCTGCCCAGAGATGCTGCTAGAGCCGAGGCGACGCCACGGCACGCGAGGGCAACGCCTGGGCCGAGCCCAGAAGTGGGACGTTCATTTCGTGGCGGGTGCCCTTCTCCCGGGGCAGCGGCGTTTCGCTCCCGTCTCTCTGGAGATGAGGTTGCGGGCGATGGGATGGCGGAGGAGGGGAGGGCGCGGGGGAGGGAGTGGGGGGAGACGGGCAGCTGGAGGGAGAGTAAGAGAGGGAGGGGGATGGCAGGGGGAGGGCGGCCAAGGGGAGAAGCTGGGGTGGGAGGGATCCAAGGGGGAGGGTGGAAAGGATAGGAACTGGAAGGTCTCTGTTCCTCCTGTCCCTCCTTTTGCTGCTCCTCCCCCCAGGGGGTGGGGAGGGCAGTGGACGAGATTGGACCTGTTGGAAAGGGGGTTGGGGCGGACGAACAGCACGGCACACGCGACGGGGGGCACGCGAGGGAGTTAGGGTTGCAGGAAAAGAGAGTGTGGAGAGGGGGGAAGAGAGATCCAGGATCTGGAGAAGGGAAAGGGGGAGCAAAGGTAAAGGCGGAGGGGGATAAGAAAGACATCGACGAGGAGTGGCAGCGACATGGCAGAGGCATGTGCGGGGTCGGGTGATGGGGCAGTTCGGCGAGCAGCTCAGGCACTGGTTCGGAGGAGGTTCTAATCTGGACGTGCTCCAGTGCCCAAGCCATGGTTTTCGCGAGACATGTTTTGCAGCTGGCCCAGATCGGGGCAGCGAGCATCTCTGAGGAACCAGGGCGGTCGAGAGTGGGCCTCGAGTCAGAGGCTTCGTGAGGTTGACCTCACGCCTCTGGCGGAGGCCAGCAGAATGGTTTAGGAAGCTCGCGGGAGTAAAGCACCGGCGTCGCCGCCAGAGGAAGTTGGCGGAAGGTCGGCGGGCGGAAGGTCGGCGGAAGATGGCATAAGCGAGCATCACGTTCCTGGCGATGTCAGAGAGCTGGCGTATCCCACGTTTGCTCGAGTCGCCCAGCTGGCTGCAGCTGGCTCGGCATACGGTTTGCGAGCTAATGTGGAAGCGGAGCGGCGAGGAGAAGGAGGAGGAGGAGCAAGATGGTCAGGAGGAGGAGCAGGAGGAGCGACTCATGTCTGCGTGCTTGGAGCGCGATCTGCAGCGGGGCCGATTGGAGGGGCGGCGACAAAGGCGGCTCGAAGGCGACGTCGAGAAGAAGAGGGGGGGCAGAGGAAGAGGACGGCGGGAGGAAAGAGGAAGAGGACGGATGAGGAGGAGGAGGAGGAGGAGGAAGGTGGAGGAGGAGGAGGAGGAGGAGGAGGAGGAGGAGGATATCGTCGTCGCCGTCGGCGGCGGCGTCGCCATCGTCGTCGGAGCAGGGCCATGCAGCATGCAGTGAGCTGGTGTTGAGCAGACAGGGCGCCGCCCCGCAGGACCGGGCGCGTGGAGGCTCCCCGATGCTCCCCCGCTGCCGGCCAGCCCTCTCTCGGCGGCTCCCCGTGCCCGACCCAGACATGAGACGTCTTGATTGTGTCAGGACGGCGTCCCTGGAAGTCCCGACCCTTTCCCCAGGACCGGTGTTTCGTCCTGAGTCGTTTTGTTTGACGCTCCCGAGGCCCAGCGAGGGCCCCCCAGGGCCGAACATACCAACAAACAAAAACCTCCCGTCCTGAGTTTTTTTTCGACGCGATCATGTCTGGGGACCTGTCCTCCTGCTCTTGGAGCCGTCTGGGGGTCTGTGGTGGCTCAGCACTGGTTCCGGCGTGCAAGAAGGGGGGAGGGGGAGCAGGTTCGAGGTGCTGGGTTTGAGAAGGTTTTTGGGGTTTTTTTTGGCCCTCGGGGGCCGTTTTCGGACCCCAGGCCGTCAGAAATGGATCCAGGGTCACAAATAATTGCACCAGATGGACCCATGCAGGGGTCGGGGAACCGATTTGGGTCGGATTTGGTCTCATCCCCCCCCTCCTGACCGAATTTCTGGGATCCAAAACAGTTCTGGGCCTCGTGAGGATGCGGGTCTTTTTCAGGGAAGCCCATCTATGGCATCAGCGAGCACGACGAAATGGAGCCGCTTCGCCCAATCCAGCACACCCTTCATGAGAACCGTGGCCCCATGGGGAGCTCCACGGTCCCACTGGGAACCGCCCACATGGTGGCGCGACTTCTCCATTCCGCACACCCTTCACGCGGACCATGGCTCCTGATAGGGAGCTGCACCCAGGACCCTCGGTGGGCAAGGCTCGCATGGCGGCGCCGCCCCCGCTTCCGCTCACATGTTTCGCGCCCCCAGAGCATCTCTACTTGCAGTATCCGTGGGCACCGCCCCCATGGCGGCGCCGGCGCCCCCACTTCGGCACCACTCACGCGCTCCGTGCTTCCTGGGGCGCTCCGCCTACGGCGTGCGCGGGCGATGCCGGCATTGCGGCGCCGCCCCCGTCTTTGCTCACCTTTCCTGCAGATCGGCCGCGGCTGAGCCCCTCACACGCATCGTGTCATCACCGGGAGCTCCACTTAAGACCGCAACAGGAGGGTCTCCAAGGCGAAATCTTGTACACCCAGCACGCGGATCAAATCCCCTACGGCCGTCTCCCTTCGAGCTCACATGCGCCCCCTGCCCATTGCGGCACACACCTTATGCGGATCGTTCCACAGAGGGACTCGAACTCCATCCATCCCGCGACGCCTGGGATATGATGGAGGGCCGCGCCCTGCGGAGCTGCATAGAGTGTTTTGTTTGAACAATACATGGGCCAGAGTGCGGAATACGTACTACGTGGAGCGTTCTCAGGAAATGTCAACGGCCGATCGTAAAACCAGGGAACTTTCAACTGGCATTATGGGAGCCTTTGCTGCTGTTTTTGTAGATTGGGGCTCAGGCACTGTGGTCCAAGGGCGCAATTTGGCATGAGAATATGATGGAGGAGGATCGGAGGAAGGGGAGTGAGAGCAGGCACAATCCTCGAATGGCCATCGAGCTGCAGGGTCGGATTTGCCGATTTCTTGAAGCCCGTAAGTGTCGATGGAGTTCTGGGTACAGCGTCTTCCGAACCTTTCAGAATCCCTGGGGTGGGGGGTGTGGAGGCACCTCAAAACATTTCTTGAAATACCTCTTCTCCCTCCTCTCCCTCCTGTGTCTCCCTGTGGAGTCATTACATACCCAGTGGAGTACCCACTGCTGGGTGTTAGCCCTTGGGAGGGGACCCAGTTTCGTTAGTTTGATATCGCCAGTGAGTAGCTCTCAGTGCACTCAGCGGTCGCCAGTTGCTCCGAGGAGATCTCAGCCACCATGGAATGTTCTGCCGCCGTCGCTCCTCCTTCCTTCTTCATCCCCTTCACTGTTGCCCGTTTCCCTCCTCCCCTTTTGGTTTCTTTGCCGCCCCCTCGCATGCGATCTTGTTGTTGCTACATGCTCATCCTGTGATTCCTCTCGCTTCGCGGGGTGCACGTCCGGAGCACATACAGTCACGTCGTCGCGGGGCCTCTGGGAGCCTCTTGGGGGCCTCCTGGAGGCCTCCTGGGAGTTTCTTTTGGCCTCTTGGGGGCTTCTTTGGGGCCTTTCCCCCCTCCTTCCTTTTCATGCACCCTCCCCATCTTCCCTTCCAGCGCCGGCTCTAGTCATGGGCGCCGCAGTGACCAACTTCACCTGGCTGGCGCTGCGCCGCAATTCGCCCAGAGGGGGGAAAATAACATTACACTCCAGTCGCTGTGTGGCCTTTGGGGGACGTTTTGGGGGCCTTTCGGAAGCTTCTGGGGGACCTTTGGGAGGCTTCTTGGGGGCCTCTTGGGGCCTCTTGGGGGCGTCTTGGGCCGTCTTGGGGCGCTTTTGCGCCGTTTCGCCCCCTCGTAGGCTGTCTTGGGGCCTCTCGCGGCCGCATTGGAGCCCTCTTGGGGTCCTCTTGGGCCGTCTTCGCGGCCTCTTGGACCGTCTTGGGGGCCTCTTTGGGCCGTTTTGGGGCCCTCTTGGGCCGTCTTGGGGCCCTCTTGGGTTTCTTTGGGGGCGTTCTGGGGTGATTTTGGAAGCTGCTTGGGCCGTCATGGAGTTTTGAAAGTCGAAAAGGGCGAGAACGCTAAAATATTGCGAAAACCATAGGAAAATCAATGACTTCGGCCTCTGGAGGCGCAGTTATGGGCGCTTTTGGGGCCCTCTTGGGCCGTCCTTGGGGCTTTGGGGGCCCTCTCGGGGCCCTCTTGGGGCCGTCTTGGGGGCCTCATGGGCCCCCGTTGGGAATATCTTGGGCCGTCTTGGGCCGTCTTGGGGCCATTTTGTGCCATCTTGAGGCCCTCTTGGAGTCCCCAGAGGCCCAAGAGGCCGAATTTGTTGATTGTTCATAGGTCTTTGTAGGTTTTTAGGGCCCCAGAAAGGGGACGATCAGTTTGGTACGGCGGTGTGGCGCGGTTCCCAGGGGGGTTAGGGGGGGGAGACATAAGAATGTAACACTATACAATTTGTTGCAAGTGTGGAATTTGTGGATACATTGGATACGTTGCGTTAAGGCGTTCGGCCAAAAACGCTGCCGCTCAGCACGTCACCTCCGGACGTGGATTCCTCTCGCTTCGCGGGGTGCACGTCCGGAGCACGTACAGTCACGTCGCGGGGCCTTCTGGGAGCCTCTTGGGGGCCTCCTGGAGGCCTCTTGGGAGCTTCTTTGGGCCTCTTGGGGACTTCTTCTGGCCTCTTCCCCTTTTTGACTCCCTCCCCATCTTCCCTTCCAGCGCTGGCTCTAATCATGGGCGCCGCCGTGACCAACTTCCACCTGGCTGGCGCTGCGCCGCAGTTCGTCCAGGGGGGGAAATAATATTACACTCCAGTCGCTATGTGTCCTTTGGGGGGCTTCTTTGGGGCCTTTTGGAGGCTTCTTGGGGACTTTTCGGAGGTCTCTGGGGGGTTTTTTGGGGCCATTTGGGGGCCTCTCGGTGGCCTCTTGGGGCCTTTTGGGGGCGTCTTGGGCCGTCTTGGGGCGCTTTCGCGCCGTTTCGCCCCTTCGGAGGCCGTCTTGGGGGCCTCTCGCGGCCGCCTTGGGGCCCTCTTGGGGTCCTCTTGGGCCGTCTCAGGGGTTTCTTGGACCGTCTTGGGGGCCTCTTTGGGCCGTCTTGTGGCCCTCTGGGGCCGTATTGGGGCTCCCTTGGGTGTTTCTTGGGCCTTCTTGGGGCCATCTTGGAGGCTGCTCGGGCCGTCATGGGCTTCGGAGAGGCGAAAAAGGCGAGAAAGCTAAAATCTTTCAAAAACGTAAGGAAAATCAATGTTTTTGGCCTCTGGAGGCGCTCTTGTGGGCGCTCTTGGAGCCCTCTTGGGCCGTCTTGGGTTCTTTTTGGGCCCTCTTGGGGCCATCTCGGGCCGTCTTAGGGCCGTCTTGGGCCGTCTTGGGGCCATTTGGAGCCGTCTTGGGGCCCGTTGAGACCCCCAAGAGGGCCAATGTGCCGAAATCATTGATTTCCCATACGTTTTGGTACGCTGTGGGGCCCCAAAAGGGGGGCCGCCAGTTTGGTACGGCGCTGTGGCGCGACTCCAGGGGGGGTTAGGGGGGGAGACATAATAATGTAATGCAATACAATATGTAGCAATTATGCAATCATTGGACACATTGGATCCGTTGCATTACAGCATCCGCGGACCTGCCTCCGGCAACACGTCACTTCCGGACGTGGATTCATCGGCTTACGCCGCACCGCCGACCCCTTGGGGCGGCAGCAAGAGTGAAAGGCAGAATTCGCGGAACGCGCGCGATGGCTGGGCAATGTTGGGGTTTCGGCCTGTCCTACGTAGCTCGTGGGGTTCAAAGGGGGGCCTTGTAGGGTATTGTTTTGAAGTGTTCCGTGGTCTTATGTGAGTTTCTTGGGGCCTTCACGGTGCCTGCTCCTGGATAGGTTCGGGGATCGTTGAGACCCAGCTGGGGTTGCATCTGGCCAGAAGTTCGAGAGTGGACCCAGCTGTGTCGACGAGGAGCTTCCTGAAGGCTCAGAGGGGGCGGAGAGCGCCCAAGAACTAGGAGTCACATGCCTAGAGCCTCGAACCCCGTGTTCCTTCCTTTGCGAAGGGGTGGCACCGGCCAGGGAGGCCGATCCTCACCCTGGACTTTCAGCGGTGGTCCCCGGCACCGAAAACGGTTCCTGGAGGCCGAATTCGAGGAGATGCCTCGGGTGGCCGAAAGACCAAGAAAATCCGAGACATCGGCGGCGACGACGAAATCTCTTTTTGATCGTCGTCCTCCTCCTCTTCCTCCTCGTCCTTCTCCTCTTTTTCTTTTCGATCGAGGTAGATGCCCGGCGGCAGTGATCTATATGTATCTATATATATATATGTATACCCATCTATATGTGTGCATGTATGTGTGTATATATATGTGTGTATATATTTATATAGATATAGATATAGATCGAAGACGCCTACGGCGAATCACTGCCGCCCCCTGCCTGTTTGGAAGCGCCTATGTGGCCGAACGTTGAAGCCAGACCTGGCGAGCTATCGGACCATGTATTCCCCGAGTCGGTTTGGAATGGTTTCGGGGAGCACGTGGGCATCTTGAAGGTCATCTTGGCCGTCTGGAGACCATTATGACCCTATCGGGCCTTTTGGGGGGACGTCTTGGAGGGCTCTTAGGCCGCCTTGGAGGCCATCTTGAGCGTTTGGGAGGCCTCCTGGGCCGTTTTGGGGGGTTTGGGGGGCCGTCTTGGGCCCCTTGGGCGATCTTTGGGGGCACTTGGGCCGTATCGGGCCGTCGGAAGTCCGACAACAAACACATGCCACAGTCCTTCACAAACTCATGGGGAATCTATGAGTTTGGCCTTTTTTTCTGGCCTTCCTCGAGGCCCACTTGGAGGCCTCTTGGGCCGTCTTGGGCCATCTTAGTGCCATCGTCGGCCGTCTTGGTGGGCTCCTGACCCGTCTGACGCCGTCGGAAGCCGTTTGGGGGGCCTCTCTGGATCGACTTGGGGCCCTCTTGGAATGCTCCAGGGCGGCCCAAAAAGACATCTTGGGCGTCTTGGAGGCCTCCTGGGCCGTCTTTGGGGCCTCTGGGGCCGTCTTTGGGGCCTCTTGAGCCGCTCTGGGGCCATCTTGGGGCCTCTTGGGCGATCTTTGGGCGATCTTTGGGGGCTCTTGGGCCGTCTCGGGCCGTCGGAAGGCCGAAAAGAAGCAACTGTCCAACTCCTTTTTTATATACAAAAAAAGAAATAAATGTATGTTGCCTTTTCTGGCATTCCTGGAGGCCCTCTTGGAGGCCTGTTGGGCAGTCTTGGGCCATATTAGGGCCATCTTTGGCCGTCTTCGTGGGCTCCTGGCACGCCTGACGCCTTCGGTGGCCGTCTTGGGGGCCTCTTTGGGCCGACTTGGGGCCCTGTTGGGGCGCTTCGGGGCCGTCTTAGAAAAAAAAAAAAAAAATGTTGGGGCGCTTCGGGGCCGTCTTAGAGGCCATCTTGGGCGTTTTGGAGGCCTCTTGGCCCGTGTTTGTGCCCTCTTGGGGCCGCCTTAAGGGCCTCTTGGGCCGTCATGGGGCCATCTTGGAGGCCTCGTGGGCGATCTTGGGGCGATCTTGGGGGCCTCTTTGGCCGTCTTGAGCCGTCGGAAGGCCGAAAAGAAGTAAGTTCCCAAATCTGTCAAAACCCTAAGGAAATCAACGATTTTGGCCTCTTCGGGCCGGGAGGCTTCTGGGGCCGTCTTGTGGCCATCCTGGGCGTCTTGGGCCGACCTTTGGGCGTCTCGGGGGCCTCTTGGGCCGTCGTGGGGGCTGCTTGGAGCCCTCTGGGGCCTCGTGGGGCCTGATGACAGTTTTGCCCCTCCTCCCCCCCCTCCTCCTCCAAACCGGCCGGACCGGGTTCCCCGGGGAGGGGTTTGGGCACGGGGAAGCATCTCACACGCCGTGGCCCAAAGGGGTCGGCGGATTGTTGCTGCCATTGAATGCCTCTTCTCTCCGTCTTGCCCCGTATTCTTCTCCGTCTCCGTTTTCCCTCTCCTATTCCACCCCTCCTATCTCTCCCCCCTCTCTTCTCTCTTGCTGTCGTGTCCCTCCCCCCAGAGTTCAACCCCGCCCGTGCTAGGGCCACCACGAGGGTGCGAAGGTGGTCGCGCTTCGCGGTCTGGGCGGTCTCAAAGCCAGGCGCGAGTCCCTCATCCAGGGGGAGGGGGAAAGGGGAGGGGGGGGGGGGAGCGCGGCGCGAAAGCGCGAAGATCACCGCGCTTCGCGGTGCGCGGAGCCCGTCCGCCATAAGGTTCGGGCGGGTGGCAGGGGGGGGGGGGACCATACAATGGGGGGGGTGAAGGGAAGGGCCCTGAAAGGGGCCCTTTCGGGCCCCTCCTGGAGCCAGCAGGGGCCCCCGAGGGGCCCCAAAGGGCCGTTCCGGGGGACCCCCGTCCTCCCCCCCCCCCCCCCCCCAGGGGGGTAGGCCACCCCCCCATCACCACCCCCCTCCTTCTCCTCCTCCTCCTCCTCCTCCTCTTCCTCCTCCTCCCCTCCTCCTCCTCCTCCTCCTCCTCCTCCTCCCCGATCCGCCAGCAGGTGCGGCCCCCCTTCGAGCAGCCGCCGGGCCGCACGGCGGCCACGGTGGAGGCCGAGGCCCCGCGCCTCTCCCGCAGGGGGCGGCGGGGCATGCCGCGGCAGGCTGCAGGGGGGGCCTCGGATGCGGATGTTGACGTTCGACTCGGAGGAGGGCGAGCTGAGGCAGCGGCAGTCGGTGGGGGCGTTGGTTGAGGAGTGTGCCCAGGAGGCTGACGAGGGCGGCGGGGACACCCATGGCCGGTCCACGATTGGAGTTCCACTGGCTTTCAGACCCTGGATTCCTTATCCAGGGCCTCCTTATCCAATGCTTCCAGCCTGGGGGAGAAGCGAGAGGGAGCGGGCCTTCTCGGAAAAAACGGAAGCCCCCTGGCCTTCAGAGAAATCGTCTAAGCTTTTTCCCGAAGACGCAGAAAATTTGTCAGAAGACCCGATGGCGTCTGAGGAACTCCGCCGCCTTATGAGAGGGCCTTCTCCTTCTCACTCCATTCCTGGCTCGCCGCCGACGATAGCTTCAGAGGAGATAGCGATACTGCGGCCTTGCCCTCGTCGCCACAGGTCCGTGGAATACAGTCGACGACACTTCCAAATAGTCTGGTGCCCTTCGGTCTTCTGTTCAAAGACGACCCATGTCCTCTGCATTCATATGGCAACGTGGCCTAAGAAAGGGTATTGTTTCGTCTGGCGTGTCCTCTCCAATCGAACTCGACTGCATCAGTACGAGTATCTTTATTGTTGGGCTGGCCTTCGGCTGGCCCCCTCGTCACCACGGCTGAACGCAGCTCGGAGAATTGGTGCGGTTGGGCCGCCTCGGGAAGGGTCCAGGGACGCACTTTGAGTTGCCGTTGTCTCAACTCTCCCTGCTCCGAAGAACACTACGGCAGGTTCTTGTCGTATCGACGCGGCGGCGACCCCGCCACGAGCGTTCAAGGCTCTGCGCCGCCAGGGGCCCAGAATCGCCAAATCTGGAGCGGTCTGGCGTTCTACAAACGCGTGACCGTTCAAGGTTGAACGATCTCCGCGGTGTAGGGAAGCGACGCCTGGGTCGTCACGGCACGAACCTGCTGCAGTTGCAGAGGAGGTGCCGATGCGGCTACCCTTCCTTCGACGCCACGGCTGGATTTGGTTCGAAATCTTGGGCGGAACCCACCCCAGGAGAGGTTCGTGGAGTTGTTGGTTCCCCAGAACATCGGACACCGGAGACTATGCATTATCAGTGGCGGGCTGCTTGTCAATCCCAGGACTTTTTGAGGGTCGAGGGCGACGTCGGGGTGGTGTGATGTATACTGTTTCCTCCGCTTCCCCGGGGAAACAACGAAACGTGTACACACCAAGATCCCGTATACACCAGGATCCGCTCTCCTGTGCAAGTTTCAGTGCGGGGCCCGAGAACATGCGTCGGTATACAGGGCTCGTTGAACCTACTTCGGTGCGCCCCCGCGTCGCCACGGCCGGACGCAGCTCGGACAATTTGTGCGTGTGAACCCAGGGAGAGGCCGGGGACGGGCTCTGAGCTGCCCTTGTTCTCAACTCGCCCTGCTCCGACGGACGGTCTTTTTGAGGACCTTCGTGCCCCGCGCGCCTGCGGATCTGTTCGAGTCCATTCCGTTTCAAGCACGATTCTAGCTCGACTCAGGCTGCACTCGAGTCGACAGGCGTTCGACGCAGCATCGGCGCATGGGTGGAGAGTGGCTCCAGGAAGGTTTCCAGAGCGAGCATCTAAGCGATGCCGGCGCGGGCGATCAATGTTGACGGTGCTTCGTGGGCTCGTCTCGTGCCACAGGGCCCGCAGAAATCCACACGTTGCGCGAGATCTGTACGACAGTGGTCAACGGCTTCTGGGGACCTCCATGATCGGAGATCGCTCGATATTCGATGGTTCACGCGGTGTCAGCAATCTGGCGTAAGAGAGGGGGGGAGGGGGAGAGAGTGAAATGGGGGAGAGGGGGAGGAGGGGAAGGGACCGCAGAGGCAAATGGGTGCAGAAGGGAGGGGACGGGACAGGAAGATGGGATGAAAGGGAGTGTTGAATATTGAGGCGAGGGAGTGGATGAACGCGAGGTGAGGAAGGGAAGGGAGAGAGGGATAGAGACTGAGGTACAGGGCTTGATACGTGCACTCATGTGCTTTGCTAAATATTGCGCCAGCACCAGCGCTATCAAAGGTATTTCGAAATTGTTGCGATTTCGCCTGTGCGATATTCCAAGCGAGAACACACAGGAGCGAGGGTTACGCGATTGGATACTCTCTGCACACGAGAGGGCGAATTCTTAAGCGCATGCACGCACACACACTTCAGAGGCATCACGCTGCAGCGGGTGCCTCAGTGATAGGAAAGCCGCCTTTGGGGGCGCCCGTGCTCAGACGAACAGAAGTGTTCGGAACCAGCGTGCAGCCTGACACGAAGCGTGCCCCACGCTCCGCCGCGCTGTTCCAGCGCGCCGCGCGCACGATGCGCCGCGCCTGCTGCTCCGCCGTTGCCCTGCGTGCCCTGCACGCCTGGGCACCCGCGGCCTCTCAGGATCCTGGCCTCCGTGGCCGGGCGGCAGGCCATTCGGTCGTTCTCCTCCGTTTCCCGTTTCCAGGCTCCCTCCTGCGCCCTGCATTTTCCCCCGTGGCTCCTGCCTCCCCCCTCCCTCTTTCCTCCGGCTCCCTCGCCGCCTCTCCCCAGGACCCCGCCCTTCCTGTCACCACCCCTCCCTCCTCGACCTCCCATTCTTGCCCCCCTCTCCCTCCCAGCACCCCCCTGCCTGCCCCCCATATCCTTTCTCCATCCCCGGCCTGTGCCCTCCCTCCCTCCTCTCTCCCTCCCTTCTGCCTGATGATCCTTGGCGGAGTCCAAATTCCTTAATGATCCTTGGCGGCGTCCGAACCCCCTCACACGCGCTGGTGTTGTTTTTTTCAATCCGCGGCCCCAGAGGTCCCGACCGCTTCCCCGGGGGGTAGTTCTTCGTCCAGATCCATGCTTGACGGCCCCTGGGCTGGGCAATGGGCCCCAGCCAGGCGATGGCAGAGGCCGACGTCGAGGAAAACGCCCGGATTGAGAAACCCGATCGTCGGAAGTCTGGGATTTCACCCTTCCCTCGCCTTCGCATCCCTGCCTCGACGGCAACGCCATAGGCGCTGGCGGCCGCCGAGCGCGCCGCCTCGTACTTGGGCGACTCCGGGGACCAGTGGCCGACGGATTCCGGCGGGGCGGGTCAGCTCGATCAGAAAAGGCCTTGAAAGTACAGTCTCGATGAATTGCTTTAGTTCGAGCGATCCCCACCCCAGACGCCTCACTACTGAAAATTCCCAGATGGAGGTTTTCGTAGTTTTCAGGGTCTGGAGGCCCTCGCTTGGCCCTGGGACCGGGACCAAACTTTGGTCCTTTGGAAGTGGTCCAGAGCGCAGGGGACCCCGCACAGTGGCGTGGAAAGTACACTCCTCCCCACACAGGTCTTGCACCTAGGGGTTTTCGCTTTGTGCTTCTGGGTACGCCTGATGGGCGCCCCGTGACCCAGGTGGGTCCGCCGAGGTGTCGCCTCGTGGCCGCCCCGTGGTCGCCTCTTGCGCGCTCGTGGGCGCCTCGTACCCTGGCCTGGCAGCATAGTTTGCACAGCACGCAATTACCACTACATGGCTTGCTTCGCATGTCTTTCTTACCCGCGCAGAGTAGTAACGAACTGCTTGGGGTCTGCGCTGGCTGGCATATGTTACACACTCCTTTTGAAGCATTGGAGCGGGTGTGGCTTGCCAGCTGCGGCAGAGGTGCCAACAATGTTCCGACGATGTTGATGCTGATGATGATGACGATGGTGATGTTGATGGTGATGGTGATGATGATGTTGAGGGTGATGATGATGATGATGATGATGATGATGATGAGGGTGATGATGATGATGATGTTGATGATGATCATGTTTGTGCTGATGGCACTGATGCTGCTGGTGACGATGATGACGGTTGTGGTGATGATGATGTTGATGATTGTGATGATGGTGACATTGATGATGATGTTGATGCTGAGTGTGCTGTTGCCGACCATGATGGTTATGGCGATGGTGAAGTTGATGGTGATGATGATGATGATGTTGATGGTGATGATGATGATGATGTTGCTAACGACGACGACGGATATTATGACGCCTACGTTGACGATTCTAATGTTGGTCATGTCGATGGTGATGGCGGTGGTGATGGTGAGCATGTGGGTAGTGACCACGGCGATGGTTATCCCATTCATGCGGAGGACGACGATGATGATGATGATGATGATGATGATGATGATGATGATGATGATGATGATGATGATGATTAGCGTCATCATCATCATTCTCATCATCATCATCATCATCATCATCATCATCATTATCATATAAGGCCGCCATCTGCTCAGGACATCGCCGACACAGCGGCCTCCACTTCTCTCCTTCTCTCGGCTTGCGAACAGGCAGAGAGCGTGGTGTCTCATGCAATGGCTCCTCGCGGCATGGTGCGGTGGGCAGACGCGCCGCCGACTCGGCGTGCCCGCGCGTGCGCCGCACGGCGCGTCGCCGCGCAGCGTGGATGTGCAAGTGCAGGCCAGGGGCTTCAGCGTGGCGCGCAAGTCCGAGGACATCAATAACGAAAAGTACGCTTCGTCCTACGCGTTTCTGTCCCACGACTGGGAGGACTACGTGCCCGTGAAACACGTCAGCGTGGAGCGGAAGTCCAAGGACATAACTAACGAAGAGGACGCCTCGCTATACATGTCCCTGTCCAACGAGTGGGAGGACCCCCGGACCGGGAACCACGTCAGCGTGAAGCGCAAGTCCGTGGACACGGTCAACGAAGAGTACGGCTCGCTCGACACGTCCTTGTTCAACGACTGGGAGGACAACCTGGCCGTGAAACACTTCAGCATGGAGCGGAAGTCCGAGCACCCGACTAACGAAGAGTACGCTTCGATCTGCACGTTCCTGTCCAACAACTGGGGGGACTACCTGGCCGTAGAGTACGCCTCGATCTACACGTCCCTGTCCAACGACTGGGAGGACTACTTGGCCGTGCAACACTTCAGCATCGAGCGGAAGCCTAAAGACCTGATCCACGAAGAGTACACACCGATCTACACGTTCCTGTCCAACGACTGGGAGGATCACCTGGCCGTGAAACACCTCAGCGTGGAGCGGAAGTCCGAGAACACATTCCTGTCCAACGGCTGGGAGGACCACGTGGCCGCGAAACACTTCAGCGTGGAGCGGAAGGCCGAGGACATGACAAACGACGAGTGCTCTCCGTCTCTGTCCAACGACTGGGAGGACCACATGGCCGTGAAACACTTCAGCGTGGAGCGGAAGTCCGAGGACATGACCAACGAAGAGCACGCTATGCACTACACGTCCATGTCCAACGACTGGGAGGGCTCCTTGGCCGTGCAACATCTCAGCGTGAAGAGCCAGTCCGAGGACATGACTAACGAAGAGTACGCGCTGTCCTACACGTCCCTGCCCTCGGGAGGACTCCTTGGCCGCGAAACAGTGGCCGAGGCCACCACTGAATGAGCCTATGGTTTTTTTCTTTCTTCTTTTCACTGCTGACTATGTTTCCTCTTCCTCCTCCACCTCCTCCCGCTCGAGCATCTTGCATCATCCGCGCTGTGGCTCCGAAGCTTAATGGGCAACGCGGCGTACCCCGTGCGTGCAGCACCCCACACAGCACCGCCGTGAGGCTAATGGGGAATGAGTGCATTCGCCTTACCATGCGTAGGGACTCGGATTTTTTCTTTAATTGCCCACCCCTCGCGCGGTTCTAGACACGATGCCTCGCTCTCTGCGCCGAGCCACCCTATTGACTCGAATATTTTTTTGCAGGGCGAAATTTATCCCTGCTTATTGGCTCTGATGGCGAGGAAAACAATCATTATCATATTCATCATGCCGGCCAGTAATATCATCATGTTACTTATAGAAATAACAACAATAACACCAGTAATAATGATGATGATCAGAATGATGATGGTTATGATGTTGATGCCGACAATCATGGTGATTATGATGTTGGTTGTGGCGGTGATGATGATGCTGCTGATGATGATGATGATGCTGGCGATTGCGATGATGGTGATGAAGATACTGCTGCTGCTGCTGCTGATGATGATGATACACATGGTCATGGGAAATGGACATGGTCATGGTGATGATGGTGATGATGTGGTGGTGATGGTTACTGATGGTGACGGTGGCAGCAATGCCGGCGGAGAGGAGGCGGAGGACTTGGAGGCAGAGGCCGAGGCGGAGCAGCACTGGCACGAGGGGGCGGTGTCCTGGTGGAGACGGGCCCTGCAGGGGGAGGACTGACATGAGGGAGAAGGGCCCTGGTGGAGATGCGCCCCGCATACAGGCGGGGGCTGTTCCCCAGGTCGACTGACATCAACAACGGCATGAACATAAACTTTCGGAGCTCCAAGCGGGTGTCTTGGATCGGCGTTGGGACCCCGCAGGCGACGGCTCCAGCGGCGCCCCTGGAGCGCTCCGCGCGGACATCCGAGCGTTTATACGTATGCCCTTCGTTTGTCCCTCTACCAGGGCCAGCTCCTCGTCCCTAGCCGCTTCTCTCGGCGGCCCCAGGGACCCTGAGGCCCTGGCGTCTCAATGTTTTCGAGCTGGGCGTTTTCGTCTGGTTTCGGGCACCCGGGACACTCCGACCGATCCGGTTCGGAACATTTAGCAGAAAGAAAGGGACTGGGGCTCCTGCCGTGATGTTTTACGATGTTTTAATATTTTGGCGCCGTCGGATATCAGAGACCAGGGGGAGGAGGGGCGAGGTTCCCGAGCTCAGGACTCCTGCGACGGTGGAGTCTCCTGACGGCCCCTGAGACCTCCGAGACCACGGCGTCCTGAAGGTCGCTTGCTTCTTTCCAGCTTGGCGACGCAGGAAAACGGGGTCGTGTTCACTGGCGCGTCAGCTATCCGCGTGAGGTCGTGCGTAGGTATAGGCACCCTCGTTTCCAACGTGGCGTGCCCAACAGCAGTTTCTGTTTCATTTTGAACAAGACTCGTTGTCCTCGCCGCCGCGGACGTCGTCCATTTGAGACAGAAGGCCGCCTGCCTAACAGCAGCCGCCGTCGATGTTGGACAATGTTTGTTGTTGGGCATCGTACCTATTCGTCTGTGCCCATTTCAGGCGTCCACATTTTCCCACGTGGAACCCTGGAGGTCTGCACCTCTTCCCCAGGGACCTGCACCTGATCGTGAGCCGCGTTGCAACGGTCCAAAGGGCTCCAGGAAGCCGACATTGTCAACATCCGCCCGTCGCATTTTTGTTGTTCCACGTGGACCCCTGCAGGTTTGGGCCATTCCCCAGGACTGACATCTCATCCTGAGTCGTTGTTTGACGGTCATGGGGGTTCCCTCGGAATCCGCCAAGAAGTGTCGAAAACCGCCCTGTCGTGTTTTTGTTCGCATGCGCCAGCCAGGACCGAGCGCTCCCCCCCGGACTGCAGATCCGCCGCATTTTTGTTTTTTAAATCGTCGATCTGCAATTGTGTCGGAAATGCAGCCCAAACGATGCGAAAAAGTAGGGCGGATATTTCCGCAAAGTTGTGGCGGAAGCCGCGACGGCGAAGTCGGGCGGAAATCGACTTCCAAAGCACGGCCGATCTGAAGTCAGGCACGCTCCCCCGGGCCAGGTAGTCCCCTGCGCCGCCACGGCGCCCAGTCCCGAGGCCCCGTTTCTGACGTGCATCTGTGCCAGTATCCCCTCCCTTTTCCTGCGGGTGTAGTGTGTTGTTGTGTTCGTCGTCGTCGTCGTCGTGGTCGTCGTCGCCGTCGTCCCCCGCCAGCCGGGGAGGCCCCTTCGCCGCCACGCCCGGCGGCGGCAGCTCGGCCTCGGGCGACGCGCCGAGGCCGACCCCTCGCCGCCGCCCCGCCGCCCCTGCGAGTGCGGCCTTGGCGAGCGGAGGCCTCGCCAGAGGCGCACGCGAGCCTCGACCAGACGCCTATAGGCCTCCCAAGGTGGGGTGGAGTTAGACGGGGGCCGGAGGATCGCGCCGTATCGTCGATGCATCGGCGACGCAGCTCGATGCGGAGCCCGATTTCCTCCACGCCGACGGCGCCGATGCATCGCCGACCTCGACGATGCATCGCAGCTGCAACCCTGATGCATCGCCGATGCATCGTCGATGCATCGGCGATGCGGCGCGATCCTCCGACCACATCTACTCCGACCCCATCTAGGAGGCCTCTAAGACGGCAGGGGGGAGATTTTTCGCCCAGACCTACCCAGAGAGCCGACGCTCCAAGAAACTTGGAGCGGGCGGTTTGGGGCTGATTTCGGCCTCCGGAGGCCCTCGCCAGGCCTCGGGAGCGTCAAAAAACGACGCAGGGCGAAAAACCGGCCCTTGGGAAGTGGTCCAGACCTCCGGGGCCCACGCAGCGAAACAATTGGAGCAGCCCGACGTCTAGGTATGATTTTCCAACCGACATTAGCCTTGATGACCAGAAAGAATTTCGACCACCAGGGAAATACCGAAAGGAAAAGGTTTTCTAGTGTCGGGCCCTGGGAGGCGGTACTCGCTCGACATTTTGCTGGCGTGTCGGAAAGAAATTGCTTCGATACTTCTTCTGAGTGTTCGAAGTTATGTGTGGGGTGTGATCTGTAAGTGCGATGGGAGCAACATTCGCCCAGACAAGGGCTCCAATGGCCGAGCTTCACTGGCCGAGCTCCGCCTGGTCGAGTGTCGCCTGGCGGGGTCTTTCCCTTGTCGTCTGAGCGAGGAGTCTCCGTAGAGGAAGAAAGTTTGGATGGCATAAGCATAACATTTCGGAGGTCCGCGCGGATTTCTCGGATCGGCGCTGGGGCCCTTCTGGCGGCGCCCCCGGTTTTGGTTTTGTGTCATTCTTTCTTTCCACGGAGACTCCTCGCCCAGACGACAAGGGGAAGACTCGGCCAGGCGAAACTCGGCCAGGCTGAATTCGGCGCGGGCCGAATTCAGCCTGGCCGAGCTCAGCCTGTCCTCCCAGAGGGGCGCTTTGAGATCCTGGTCTCTCACCGGGCGTAATCTTCGTCGACGGCCTTGCGAGTGCGAACCGCTTGGTGCACACAGGTTGTGGCCCGCGTGCCAGGACGTGCTCATCAGCCGCTTGGTACATCGAGGCGGCCGTGTGCAAGGCAGGCTTTGCAGCGACGACACCAGTCATCCTATCAGGTATTTTTGTTCAATCGCTTCGCTTCTTCCACTGGCGCATACTGTAGGTCGGGTGTAGTGGCCTCTGGCCAGACTGGGTCGTGGACAAGGGCCCTTGTCAGGAGGCTTGTTAGGGTCTCTTGGGATGCCTCTCGGGGGCCTCGTGACGGCGTTCGGGAGCCATTGGGGCCTCCCGGGGTGTTTGGAAGGCCTCTTAGGGCCTCTTGGGGTCCCGTTGGGGGCCCCTTGGGGGCTTGCTGGCGGTCTCGGGGGCCAGTTTCGGGGGAAAGAGCCCCAAACCAATCGTCATAGCATGTATACTCATATTCTTGATCCGATTTCTTCCGTCACGGCCGATTCGATTGCTTCGGAGGTTGCGGTCGAGGCGGTGGGGGAACTCACAAGTGCAATAGGCAGCCAGCTGTCCGTCCAGCATGTGATTTGGAATTCCCGTCCAGCATGTGATTTGGAATTCGAGAGAGAGAGAGAGAGAGAGAGAGAGAGAGCGGAAGAAAGAAGAGGTCGACCCTCCCGGGACATGTTCGTGTCGTGACAAAATCCTCACGGGAGAGACGTTTGGCCGTTTTTTGCGTCCGGAGGGCCTCGCTGGGCCGTGGGACCGTTCAACAACAACCCAGGACGAGAAACATGTCCTGGGGAGAGGGTAGAGCCCGGGGATCCCGTCTCCAAAATATGACGACGCATGTCCGGGCCCTCGCGCCACCCCCTTTCCTGCCTGCTCTTGCGGCGGACCGCCCCTAGTCAAGCAGTAGCGAAGCGTCGTGGCCTGCCTATTGGCCAACCAGACAATGTCCTAAGGGCCTCTTGTTATTTGCACGACATTGGACTACACGTAAGAGTGAGCCTTCGCCAAAGTGACCTTTGGTGCGGGCCCACTGCGGCCCCCCGATCGCCGACAGCGGTGCGGTAGTAGCGTCTTGCGCGCTTGTGTTTGGCCCCCCCGCGGCCCCCCAAAAACCGCGCACCAAAGGTCACTATTATCCAGGTCACTCGTGCGTGTGGTCGAGAAGCGTGCTTAGAACATTTCTGGCTGAGGCCCCTATGGTTTAACACGTCAGCTATACAATCTAAGACTAGAGTGCTTGTGTTTGGAACACTCCATTGCTCTCGGTAAGACTCGTTGTAGGCATCTATGCTGGGACGGCCGGTCCCTGCATCATGCAGGCCGAATGCGCAGTCCCCCTCCCCCCTCTGCGCCGAGAGGCTCCCGAACCTGCAAGGCTCGCTCGTCAAGGCAATCTACAGGCCGGCGGGGCGGCACTGGCCGCCGGTCCACGGTCCGCGGTGTTTTGAGGGGGGGAGGGATGGGATGGAGGGAAGGAGGCAGCCAACGCAGATGGTTTGTTCACACTATCCTGTTTGGCTGTCTGTTTCAATATGTACACGTAGCACACCGCAGTTGAAGAAAAGAGTGGCGCGGGGTGGGTCGCGGGTAGGACGCGGGTGGGTCGCGGGTTGGGTCGCGGGCGGGTCGCGGGCGGGTCGCGGGGTGAGTCGCAGGCGGGTCGTGGGGGTCGCGGGCGAGGGCGACGACGACGGCAACAACAATTGTTTTCAGATTGTCCGCTCTTACTTGCTCGCGTGCCATTCAAAACGTATATCAAAAACCCTCGATACCCGCCCTCTTCGTCTTCGATCGCACCCCCATTGGGGCATATTTTCCCTACCTGCCGCGCGTAATTGGTGCAACCCCTAAAACAGGGGAAGAAAGGACGGATGGATCGAAAGGGAGAAGGATGGAACACGGGATTCGAAGGGCAGGAGCGGGGCTAGGAACAGAAAACATGTGACATAACCGAACGGCAGGCGATAGATCTTAACGGGCGGATCGGGAAGGCGGGCCCCAGTGGCCAGGTCGAGCAGGCGGGTTTTTGAAGCGTGGGTACTGCATGAGTCGCGAGAAGGTCTCGAGCGAAAATGCGATTCAGAAAGGCGTGGCGTTTGAAAACAATGCGAGGAAACCCCACGCGAGAGCACGTCCCGCGCCAGAGCGAGAATTTTCAACAATGTGTGAAAAAATAACCGGCGGGAGCCGTTGTTGTTCTTGCTGATTTCGGGGCCCAACGTCGCAGCTTGGTGACCCCACAGTGTCCCTTGCAAAAACAAGTGCGAGCCCAAGGAGGAGCCCGCTTAACTGAAGAAAAACAATAGTCACCCGGAAGGGGGAACGACTTCTTTCACAATACAATATGCTGACGATTTTTAAATAAGAGCGACAACACCAACACCAACACCACCAATAAGAACACGAACAACGCTACAAACAACAACAAACACAACAACACCATCAACAACAACAGCAACAACGACAACAGCGCCACCACCAACAACAACAATCATTTTAAGACTGTTCGCTTCTATTTGCTCACGTGCCAACCAGTACGTATATCCCAAGTCCTTGGTACCCACCCTCGTCGTTTTTGATCGTGCCCCATTGGGTGTAGATCTTCCTTACCTGCCACGCGCATTTGGTGCAGCCCTCAAAATAAGGGAAGAGAGGACATGTAGAAGGGGGGGGTGAAGAATGGAACACGAGGGAAATTAGCAGGATGGGGGGCGAGGAACAGAAAACAAGTGGTAGAGCCAGACGGGCAGATCGGGTGGGCAGACGCATAGCGGGCAGGTCGGGAAGGCGGGCCCAGGCGACGAGGTCGAGCAGGCGGGTTGTTGAAGCGTGGGTCGTGCATGAATCGCGAGGAAGCGATTGCGCGATTCCCAAGTACATCGCGAGAAAAGCCAACGCGAGAGCGTGATTCTTGAGCGCCGGGGGCGCATCGTCTGAATATGTTGCGAGGAAGTCCCTCGCGAGAGCGCGATGCGTATTGATTTGTGAGGAAGTCCCGCGCGAGAGCGCGATTTGGGAATAATTTGTGAGGAAGTAGCAGGTGGGAGCCGCTGTTGTTGTAAACCGGGTGCCAGGGACTCCGTTTGAGAGCCTTGTGATTTTCCCGAGTAGAAAAATACAGGGTGCGAGCCCCGGGGGAAGCACTTCAATTGCAAAAACACAAGGGTCACCTGACGGTGGGGACCAACAATAGTGAGAGTTCAACAATAACGGCAACAGCAACAAAACAACAGCAGCACCAACAGCAACAAAAACGAACAACACCCACTTCAAGACGGCCCGCCCGTACCCGGCCGCGTGCCACGTATAGCCCAGACCCCCCGGCACCCGCCCCCTTCCCGTACTCCCTCCGGGGGTATCTTTTCCCTATCCGCCGCCCATAATTGGCGCAGCCCGCAAAACACGGGAAGGGAGGACGGATGGAAGGGGAAGGGAGAAGGATGGAGCACGGGATCAGCAGGAGGGGGGACAGGAGCAGAAACCATGTGGCAGAACCGAACGGAGGGCGGGTATATAGACCGTAACGGACGGGTTGAAACGTGAATGCATGAACAGCGAAGAAAGCTCGAGCGATAACACGATTCCCCAGTAAATCGGGAGAAACGCCGAAACGAGAGCGCGTTTGTGTCGAGGGCGGGCGTCTGAATAAAGTGCGAGAAAGTTTCGCGCGAGAGTGCGATTCCTGTATGATGTGTGAGGAAGTCCCGCGCGACAGTGCGATTTTGAAGTACATGGAAAAGAAGTATCAGCGAGGAGCCGTTGTTGTTGTAACTCGGGAGCCAGGGTCGCAGTTAGGTGACACTTCGGTTTGTTGCGATCAGGGTGCGAGCCCCGGGAGGGGCGCTTTAATTGAAAAACAAAATGATTACCGGAGGGGGCGCCAAGAATAATTATGAATTTTGAAGTAAGAATTCAACAGCAATCATTTTATATTTGTTCGTTCTTACGTAGATTGTATCCCAAACCTTGGGTGCCCGACCTCTTCGTTTTCGATCGTACCACCCTTGGAAGTATATCTGCATGACCTGCCACGAGTGGTTGGCGCCACCCCTAAAACGGGGGAAGGAAGGGAGGAGGAAAGAAACAAAAGGCAGTGAGAGGGATTTGCAGGAGGGGTGTTAGGAGCACGAGTACAAACGGCAGAACCAGACGGGCGGGTCGGGCGGGCGGGCACAGGCGGCCGGGTGGTCGAACTGGTGGGTCACTGAAGCGTCATTCCAACATGGATCGCACGGAAATTTCGAGCGATAGCGCGATTCACAGGTAAGTCGTGAGGAAGTCCAAAGCGAGAGCGAAATCCCTGAGTGTTGGAGGCACGGCGCCGCAACAATTTCGAGGAAATACCACGCGAGAGTGCGATTCATGCACACATTGAAAGAAGTCCCGCGCGAGAGCGCAATTTTGAATGAGGTGTCAGGAAGTATCTGGCCGGAGCCGATGTTGATGTCCAGGACCAATCGCTTCTCCCAAAAAGAACAAGGTGTGAGCCCCAGTAAGAGCACTTCAATTGAACAAGCAGCATGGGCACCGATGGGGGTGGTCAACATTTCTTTGATAAAATGGAAAATCGAATCCTGACCACCGAATCCTGTTTCCACCACGCGCTCCAGGACAATGAGTGACCATTCGGTCCCCTGGTTTTATTTTCTCTCTCTCTCTCATACATATATATATATGGAGCGATCCAAACATGGCCTCGCCTTCGAGTTTTTAACGAATTGTCATCTCTTCCTCGGCGCAAGGCCGGCGGAAGGCAGCGGAAGTAAAAGATTCGCCCCAAAGAGATGACAAGGTGTTTTGGTTTAGGGTTTCCTGAATCCGCCGTATGTATATCTATATTTACATATAAACACGTCGTTATACACATGCATATATATATACATACATATACACTTACATACACACACATACATACATACATGCATGCATACATACATACATGCATGCACACATACATTCATACATGCATACATACATTCATACATACATACATGCAGACATACGTACATACATACATATATACATACTTACATACGTATGTACGTACATACATACATACATACATACATACATGCATGCATACATACATACGCACATACATATATATATATAGATCGATAGATATATATATAGAGATATACATAGAAACAGGCCCAGGGGGGTCGCAGATGTGGCCCCCCTGGGGTGCATGCCCTCCTTTCGCGTTCGGATGGCCCCGACTTTCGGTCCAAGAGAGTTCCCAGAGCGCGCACGAGTCCCCTACGACGGTCCAAGACGCGCCCAAGACGCCATGATATATTTGTAAGACGCCCAAGAGAGGCCCAAGAGGGGCCCGAGAGCGCCCAAGCTGTCCCGAAACGGCCCTTCGAGGGCGCTCCAAGATGGCCCTGTACGGCTTCAAAACTGACGATGACGAGAACGACGACGACGACGACGACGACGACGACGACGACGACGACGACGACGACGACGACGACGACGGCGGTGGCGGCGGCGGCGGCGGCGGCGGTGGCGGCGACGACGACGACGGCGGCGGCGGCGCGAGGGCCCTTCGAGGGCGCTCCAAGACGGCCCAGAGGCCCCCGAAGCACCGAGAGGCCCCCAAGAGTACCGCCGAGAGGGTTCGAGGAGGCCAGAAGTATGTTGGCCCGACAGCCTGGGGGCGCCGTCAGGGGCGGGTCGGTTCGCTGTGGTGCGCGTCGGCCCCGGGCCCTCATTCGTCGCCGGCAGGGGCCTGCCTAGGAGCGTCCGGCTTCGGGGGCAGGCCGTCTGTCTATCGATGATGTGTCGCCGATTACAGATCGAGGTTCCCCCCCTCCAGGAGCCACTGCCCCCTTTCTCGTTCCCTCTCTCAGGGGAGAGGCGGGAGGGGGGAATCGCTACGCATGGGGAGGAGGAGGGAGGAGGAGGGAGAGGGACGAGGGAGGAGGGCACGAGACGGGAGGGGCCAGATGGGCGAGATGCCAGACGGCGATGTCGGGGCGAGGGGTGCCCTGGGGTGGCTCATCGTTTGCCACCTTCGCCGCCCCAGGATCAACTGTTGTCAGGAGGCGAAAGGGAGGAGGCAGGGAGGGAAGAGAGGCGGGGGAGGAGGGGGGCAGAGGGGGGATGAGTAGCAGCAGCTGCTGCAGAAGCAGGAGCCAGGAGCAGCAGGAGCAGGAGGAGGGAGAGAGAGAGACAGAGGGAGGGAGGGAGGAGCGTGGTGGCAGGAGGGAGCAGGGAGCAAGAGCAGCGGTGGGAGCGGGCTGCAGGGGTTCGCGCGCGGCCCGCTGCCCCGATCTGCTTGCCAGCTCTCCGTCGCCTCCCTGCGTTCCTCCTTTTCCTCCTCGTCAGTCTCCCCCCCTCTCTTCTCTTCCCCTCTTTCCTATCCTTGTTAATCCTCTTCCTCCTCCCCCGCGCCTCCGTGCATTCTCCCCCCCCCCTCCCTGCCATCCTCGAGCAGCCCGTGCTTTTCCGACTCAGGCCCTCGAGTGCTCCATGCTGTCCCCAAGCGTATCGCGGACTGCTGCCCGCGCCCGCCATTGATCCGCGAGGAGGAGGAGGAGGAGGAGGCCCAGGCATGCTCGCGTCGTGACAGTTTCGCTACGGGAGGTTTTTGACCGTTTTCGGCATCAGGTGGACCAGCTGGTATATCGAGCACGATGGCAATCAGCAGCACATAGTTCAACCGCCACGCGACGGGACAACATTGCGATAGACAGTTGCGCAAGTCAGACTCCAACCCGCTGGACGTCAACCGGCTCGTTGTCTCCGCCATCTTTGCCTCTTCCACTGAGATACAATCTCAACCACAATTCTGACTCACCACGGGCGCCTTGACCACTTCCCCGGCCCATCCACCAGGATTCGGAGTCTGCCGTGCAGCTCAACCTCGGGGGGCCAGCCAAAGGCGAGGGAGGCGGGCTCCTGCACAGTTGGCCCACGCTTCAGGACTGCGCGCCACTGGCCTCGGCCATTCATGTGATTGCCGATTGGGGGGAGCGGCCCCCAGACGTGCACTAGGCAGTCTCCGTACATGTTTCGGTTGCGATGCCTGAGTTCCCTCATTCGTTCTTCATTTCTTCGTCCTCATTTCCTGCACCAGTTCCTCGCCTGTTCCGTGCTGTTTCCCCTTCCTTCGTCGACGCAAAGCTAACAAGTTAGCACTCTGAAGTGCTTGCTTTTGCTTCTCCTGTGCAGGCGCCGTGCAGCGTGCCAGAGCACGTCTGCCTGCACAACGTGATGCTCCTCGTCCTCTCTTGTTACAGTTCTGCCTCCCATTCTTCCTCAACTCGTTAAATTCAGCATCGGCGCTGGTATACCCGTGGTGGAAAGACCGGGGCCGAATCTGGCAAAGCACGATTGGCTTCGCACAGTCCCGAATAATCTGCCTCAATGGGCTTAATCCTGGTCCTAGTCCGCCTCAGGGGCCCCCTTTTCGGGCCTAGAGCTATTAATCATTCTTCTGGAGACCTCCCAGGAGTTGCCCCCTCCCCCATCGGCACCTCCACCGAGATGCCAACAACGTCGCATGGCTTGCAGCAGCAGTGGACAAGGAACGGTGGGATTTTCTACTGAGGAACCCTCTGAGGCTGCTCAGGCCCGCGGCCACGTCCGCCCCGCGCAGGCCGCCAGCCGGCCCGTCCCGCCCCCTCCAGGGGAGGCGTCGCGCGTCGTTCGTTCGTTCGTTCGTTCGTTCCCTCGTGCGCCCTGCCGCCCGCCCCCTCCCAGGGACGCTTCGCGCGTCGTTTGCTCGCCCCTCTCGAAGAAAGCAACAAAATGCGACCTAAACATGAACTGTCGGCAGGCCGCGCGGATTTCTTGGATCTCCGCTGGAGCTGCCTCACCACCATGTCGCGCTAGTTACTTCACTTGCTCGAGGGGATCCTCGACCTCCTTGCCGCGAACTCCAACAATGTTGGCGTGGGGTTGCCTAAAACAATAACAAAACAACTGTCGGCGCCTCAGGCGCCGTCCCTGGCACGCTCCGCGCGCCAGGGAGGGGGTTCTAACCCAGGTCTGCGAAAACCGCGCGGAGCGCCAAAAGTTTATGTACACGTATGCCAGTGTGTTCTCCCTCTAGCTCAGCGCGCCGTTCATTCGCTTCTCCCTCGCGCGCCCTGCCGCGCACGAGGGCGCGAAGCTGTTCGTGGCTCCCGATTCCTCATCCTCGTCGTTCTCCCACCACCTTCATTCCCGCCCCATCGCCCACTCGCTCTCCCCTCCCCCACCCCCTCCCCCCAAACCCCCTCGCCCCCTCCCCGCCCCCTCCCCGCCCCCTCGTTCCCGTCTCCTCCCGCGCCCTGCCGCGCGTCCCCTCCCGATGCACGCCTTCGTCCTCCTCCTCCTCCTCCTCCTCCTTCTCCTCCTCCTTCCCCCCCTCCTTTTCCCTCCTCCTCCCTCCTCCTCCCTCCTCCTCCCTCCTCCTCCTCCTCCTCCTCCTCCCTCCTCCTCCTCCTCCTCCTCCTCCTCCTCCTCCTCCTCCTCGGTGTAAGCGAGTTGCCAAATCGTGTGCGATGAATGGGAGAATAGGGCGATTTGCCCAGGCCTCGAGACGCTTCGAGGTCACCAGGAAATTAGAACGAGCGGGTGCGCAGCAGGCGGCGGTATACGGACATCAAGTGCACGGTTTGTTCGGTTCCGCTATGGTTACGCTCCGACGGAGGCGGGGGGCGTCGTTCTTGGATCCACGACGAGGGGCCGATACTTGACCACCTTATTGGACATCAAGTTGCCCCACGGGGACCCAGCCTACAAGCTGCCGAGAGAATGCCTCCGACAATGATTTGCTGTTTGGACGCGCGAACTTTTCATTCGACCTGGCGTGCACCGTATCTGGGAGAAGCTGGTCGCCGACTTGGCAGCACTCGATCCTACGCGACGGGCTCGTCACGTTCGGGGCCCCGTCTCCGCGCCGATGATGCACCCGTTGGAAAACGATTGGGTACCACGCTCTGCTTCTCTGTGGGAAGCGCCACCTGCAACTAGCGACGGTGAGTCCATCGAATGGCACTTCCCAGATGTAGCGTTGTATCCGCATTGACAATCCGATGATTTATGTTGTGATCTTGAGACCAGCATTCGAGCTCGACTATGGCGGGGCGCAGCTGCACACTACCTTGGGAATGGAATGGAGGACGGTGTCGACAACGCCTCATTGCGAGAATTCATCAAGATGTTGCGCAAGGCGCCCCATAAAGGGCATCGCTTCAGTGCTCATGGTTGCTATCGCCGTCGGGGGCACCTGGACTGGAGAGCGCAAACCATCAGTATCGAATGTCGCCGTGGACGTGGCGTGCCCGCGGTGCCGTGTAGCTACGGAGATTCTGTTTCATCGTATTTGGGTTTGTCTTTGCAACAGAGGTAACACGGCGTACGCTGAGTTTGACGCTTTATCTTGCGAAGTTCAGATCCATCATGAAAGTGATGCGTGTTTTTGGCTTCGTGGTTTGATACCAGCATCTTGGACCTCAGTGCTCCCGCCCACTCACTAGGATCAGTGGTCGCATTTCGGACTTGTCGACGGTGTCCTCGGTCCGGGATGTTTTGGCACAGGCACCCCGTTTCTTCGGGGATGCGAGTGGCGATTTTGATAGCCGGGACCGTCACTTGAGAAGGATTGGCCTAGCAACCGGTGCTCTTCGACGCGATGGGCGAGAGTTGAGGGCAGGCGTGTCCGGGCCTCTAATTACCCGGATTTTGTCAGTCAGTGCCCAGAGGTGAATTGGCCAGTTTGGAACTTGTTATTCGTCTTTTTTCTGGTCCCACAGTTTGTCACTGACGCCGAGCCAGTACTTCACGGCTGGCATGCTGGTAGATTTATGTCTCCCTCTGGCCCCGACGCATTTTTATGGGGGGATTGGCCAGAATTTCCGCTTCGAGTCTTCTGATTCTACAGTTGTGCACATCAACTCCCACTCCCACCTCACAGTCAGCGAAGCAGCTGATCGTGGCATTCCAGAATGGGTGCGGCTCGGAAATGAATTGGTTGACAATGTGTCCTTGGAAGCTGCGGCAGCGTATCGCGTGCCCAGCGCAGACTCCACCTCCGCCTCCTCCTGCCGCTGCTGGACGGCCTCCCCGCTTCTTTCGCAACGCAGCACACGTTACTTGAGTGCGGGCGTAAATGCTCACGGTGCCGGTGTTCAACCTCAGCCAGCACGATCACCGAATGGATTAGCCACGCGAATTGTTTTGCACTGACTTGTACACCCGTTGGGGCGCGCATCCATTTGTTTGGAGGGTGGGTACATTGGAATCACCGCATGGCCTATCACGATGATTTGAACTTGCATTTGTGTCAGCATTGTGGGAAGTTTGCAGCAAACAGTCTGCAATCGCTCAAAGCAGCTGAATGCAAGCAAACCTCCGCTGGTCGAGAGCATCTTCGGCGAATGGTGGCAGATGTATATTCCCAAGTTCTTAGCAAAGCTGAAACGCTGATAAGAGTGTAAGTACGGATTGTTGCACAAGGCATTGGTCATTCGATTCTATTCCTCCTCCACCTCCTCCTCCTCCTCCTTCTCCCCCTCTCCGCCTCCTCCTCCTCCTCCTCCTCCTCCTCCTCCTCCTTCTCCCCCTCTACAATTATTCAATATGAATATACTCTCCCTCTTCCCCTGATGGCGTCCGGGTGATAGCCGCGCACCCTCCGCGTACTGTTTTTTACACACAGGATGCCCGGGAAATCCCGGGAAACGACTCTCGCTGAGGCGCCGGCGTCATTTTTTCCCAAAATGCTGCTCTCGCGCCGGCGTCATTTTTTCCCAAAATGCTGCTCTCGTTGAGGCGCCGGCCTCATTTCTGCTCCCGAATCCTTCCCCTGATGGCGTCCGGGTGATAGCCGCGCACCCTCCGCGTACTGTTTTTTTACACACAGGATGCCCGGGAAATCCCGGGAAACGACTCTCGCTGAGGCGCCGGCGTCATTTTTTCCCAAAATGCTGCTCTCGTTGAGGCGCCGGCCTCATTTCTGCTCCCGAATCGTTCCGAATCGTGCTCCCGCTGCAGCGTGGGCCTCATTTTCGGATCGGTGTTTGGCCTCCGTCGTTCAGGATGGCGTTCTCGCCCCAGCGCGGGCCTTTTTCTCGCGCGCCCATCCGCCCGCCACCACCGCGCCGCACCGCACCACCACCACCACCACCACCACCACCACCACCACCACCAGCACCAGCACCAGTACCACCACCAGCACCACCACCACCACCACCACCACCACCACCACCACCACCACCACCCCACCACCACCACCACCACCACCACCACCACCACCACCACCACCACCACCACCACCACCACCACAACCACGCACACACGCACGCACGCACGCACGCGCACCACCACCCACTACGCACGCGCGCGCGGAGCCACAGGTCCGCTACGACACGCGTCCGCGGATAGAGAAAATCAGCGCCATGGTAAGGGATGGGAGGGAGGGGTAGGACGTCAGATATGACGCGAGCGCACCTAGCTTGTCCTTCTCCCCCTCCCCCTTTCCTCCTGTTCTTCCTCCTTCTCCTACGCCTCCTCCTCCTCCTGCTCCTCCTCATCCTCCCTCCTCCCTCCATTCTCCTCTTCCTCCTCCTCCTCCTCCTCCTCCTCCTCTTCCTCCTCCTCCTCCTCCCCCTCCTCCGCCTCCGCCTCCGCCCTTCGCCTCCTCCTTCTCCTCCCTCCTCCCTCTTCCCTCCCTCCTCCTCCTCCTCCCCTCTCCTCCTCCTCCTCCTCCTCCCTTCTCCTCCTTCTCCTCCTCCTCCTCCTCTCCTCCTCCTCCTCCTCCTCCTCCTCCTCCTTCTCCACCTCCTCCACCTTCTCCTCCTCCTGCCTCTTCCTCCTCCTCCTCCTCCTGCTCCTCCTCCCCCTGTCCGCCCTCCTCGTCCTCCTCTCCTCCTCCTCCTTCCTTCCTCCTCCTCCTCTCCTCCTCCTCCTGATCCTCATCGTCATCCTCATCCTCATCCTCCTCCTCAGCCTCCTTCCTCCTACTCCTCCTCCCCCTCCTCATCATCCTCCCACCTCCTCCTCCTCCTGCTCCTCCTCCTCCTCGCTCATCCTCCTCCTTCTCCTCCTCCTGCGCCCATCACCGAAGAGGCCCTCGCAGGGGATCGCCTCAGAGGGACAGCGTGTGTCTCCGAGATCGATGCTGCACGCGATCTTTCCAACACCAACCGTGCTCCCTGGCTAAGTGCCCCCGCAGGCCGTTGGCTGAGCCATATAGGCAAATTTCTGATCCGGCTGGCCCGGCAGGCGCGGCCCGACACTCCATCGCATCATCGTCTCGCCGCCTAGCCTAGGCGGCTAAAGGGGCCATCTGCCCCCGCCTCCAACCATGACATCCGGCGGCTCCAATTTTTTCGATGCGTAGGCCCTGGAGGTCTGGACCATTGCCCTGGGCATGTTTTTCGTCCTGAGCCGTTTTTTCTCAGTCCCGAGGCCCGGCGAGGGCCCCCAGAGGCCGAAGTCGGCCCAAAAACGCCCGCCCCAATTTCTGTTGGAGCGTCGGATCTCTGTGAAGGCAGGGGGATCCCCCCTCACCTTTTCCTTGTGTACTCCCGCGCCTTGCCGCGTCCCGCAGGAGACCGCACCCGGCCGGCCTCGGGCTCCTCCGGCGCCGCCGGGGCGCGGGGGCGCCGCAGGCCCCACAGCAGCCCGACGCGGCAGGCGCCGCGCCGTGTGCCGCTTCGGGCTCTCTTGTTTTCCAGCTTGAATCATTTGCCAAGTCGGAAAATTGGAGCATACACATTACCAGTGGCGGGCGGCTTTTCAATCCCAGGACTTTTTGAGGGCCGGGGGCGACGTCGTGGTGGTGTGGTGTATATGTTTGTTCCCCGACGTCCCGGGGAAGCAGCGAAACATGTATACACCAGGGTCCCGTATACACCAGGATCCGCTCTCCAGTGCAAATTCTAATGCAGGGCCTGAAGAAGCGTCGGTGTATAGAGTTAGATTTCCTACTCCTGTTTTCCAGCTTGAAGTATATCCCATGTGCACAAGCTCACCTCAGTGCCGATGTCAAGGTTGTCTCAGTTTCTGAGGGCACATCTCCTAAGATTGACATCCCCTTCGGCTTGCCGATCTTAGTCAGGGGCAACGATTTGGGGGGACAGGCATAGGGGGTATGCATCGACCCACAATCGCTCATTGATCGCCGATAGGGGCCCGATAGAGCCCGAACCTGCTCACGAACTTGCGGATTCACTATCGGAGGCCTATCGCCGATCTATCGGCGATGTATCGCCGATTCCAGGTCGATGTTTCCCCCTAGCTCTATCCCTCCCTATCGATGCCCCTCACTTAGGGATAAGGATAAATAAGTTCGAGGCTGGCTACCTCTGCTGAGCGGGGCCCTTGCGTCGGGCGGGGGCCCGAGTGACCACACCGCGTGGCGAGTCAGTTGAGAGCACCTGGTGGGATTCAGGATGAGCTGGTGTGCGTATGCGTGTGTGCACGATGTCCCGCGAGAGCGCCGGAAACAATACGCCCCCCCCGCCCTGACCACCCTCTGCCTCCATCCTCCAGGTGGTGGTGGTGGTGGTGCGTTTCCTTCTCCCTCGCCAGTGGCAAGGTTTCGGCTGTTTTTGTTGGGGGGCGGGGCTGGCCGCGCCGCTCGCTCGGGGAGCGATCCGTCCCCCTGAGTCGCTCGCTGCGTCCGCCCTCCTCGTTCGGCCGCGCCCTCCCCCCGCTCCTCTTCTTGCACGGTGGCACAATTTTCTCTAACGGCATCCCCGTTTAGACATCCCATCGCCAGCGCAGATCTCCTCTGCCTAGCCGCCTACGCAAAACACATCGCCGAGGGCTTTCCTGGGGTGCCCGGATCGTCCCAGACGGCCGCCTGAGGCCCGAGCTATGGCCCGAGAGCCACCAGGTGTCGAGGGCCCCCAAACAGTGTGGTGACCACACCGCGTGGTGCGTCAGTGGGGATCCGGGGTCGCATGGTTTTGGAACCCGGGTCGTTCTCCGAGGGCGTCTCGGGCGATTGGGGCCTTCAGGGTCCCAAAACCGTGCGGTGACGGACCGTGCGGTGGGGCCTCATTTCGAGGTCGCCGCGCGGTCTGTCACAACACGGTTTTGGGACCCGCAAATCGGGTAACGTTCGACCCGGAATTTTATTCGGAGGCCCCTTATCCGATCTCAGGGGAGAGCAGCGCTTCGGCGTTTGGTGAAAGCGTCGAACATGCTGGGCGGAACGTCGCTGAGGTCGAGTCTTTCGCCTCATCAAGCAGCAGGAACAGCTTGAGTGGGAAGTGCATGCTAGTGAGGGACTCGTGCACCCAGAAGTCCGCACTGGAGATCAGGCGGTCCGCCAGGGAACGCATTCGCATCGTCCATCGTCTGCTTCGGAATGGTGATTAAGTCTTGCCGCGTTGACCTGTGGAATGAGATGGAGTCGATGCCGGTGTGGAACGTCGCCTCGGCATTGCCGCTCGCGGCGTGCACGATCGGGAAGGTTCTGCTGACCCGTCGGTCGCTGCTGCTCGTTCTCTTCAGCGCCTTGGCTTCCTGCTCGAGGTCCCAATCGGCGCCAGCCAGCTTCAGTTGATGTGGCAGGAGCCTGGCAAGTGGCTCCAATACCTGGCGAATGATGAGCGCCGGTACCAGCGGGTCCTTCTCCAGAAACTCCCTGGCTTTTCTCCTCAATTCAGCTTGTTCTTTCCTTCGATGTTCCAAGGGATCGCGCGCTTCATCTTCTTCCGCCTTCCCTGCTGGGTGGCGCCCGTCATCTAGCCCTCGAGGGGCCTGATCGGCGCCGGTGGACGAATCCAAGAGCATCGGGGTGGCCTCTCGGCCAGTGGGTCCCCGAGTTGGGAGCTGATTGTAACAGCTGTGCGTCGGCAGCCCCCCTCTGGAAGGGTGCCCCGCCTCGAAAGCGAACGTGTCCCACGATGCCGTGGCCAGACCGTGGCACCCTTCTAGCAAGCAGAACTCGCTGAAAGCGTCGTCGGCGCCAGTCCAACGATGCCTCGGATAAATGGTAAATCTCGAGTTGACCATGCATCGCCGAATAGCTTCCGCCACCGATTCCTTGAGGCTCTCCGCATCATAAGCAACGCCAGTCGGCAAGTAGACCTTCATGTGCTTCTTTCTTCCGCCAGTCCCCGTTCGGGAGAGAACGCTAGGCCATCCGCGGATGCGGCGAGAGACTTGTGATTATGCTTCCCCCGCGGCTGCGGCGGCTACGGAGCTGCGGCGTTTCAGCTTCTGCGGGCTGCTGTGATTCGCGTGATGTCGAGAGACGTGTCTCCCGCGATCTGGGGCCGCTCAAATATTTTGCACTGTTGGCCCACGTGGTCTCACGTAAGATAGAAGCCTTGGGCTCACATTGCGCAGCGCTGCGCCCCGACTCTTAGAGGAGGGAAAAAGGGTCCGCTGCTCGTCCTGGAGAGCCCACGTCGCCTCGGCCGGATTCGCCTTAGAGCTTCTGGGCTGGATGCGTCCATGGAGAGATCAGTCTCCTGTGTTTCGGCGGCTCGCCGGGGGGGGGGGAGTTCGGCGTTCCCTGAGATCTTGGCGTTGCAATTTTTGTTCGCACCGGGCGGTTTCGCTTGGCTAAGCCCGAAAAGTTTTTAGAGCCCCCAGAACCGAGTAACCAAAGACCGTTTCGGCGGCCTTTCTGAAGGACTGGGGTCCCACCAATAGGGGGTAACTAATTCAGAGTGAGTGGGCTGAACGGTCATTCACTGTCCCTGAGCGCGTGGCTGAAGTAAGGTTCTGCTGTGCGGATTGTTATTGTTGTTGGTGGTGGTGTTGTTGCTGGTGGTGGTGTTGTTGTTGGTGGTGCTGGTGTTGCCATTGTTGTTGTTGTTGCTGTTGTTGTTGCTGTTGTCGTTGGTGCTGGTGGTGTTGGTGTATGTGTTGTTGTTGGTGGTGCTGTTGGAGTTGTTGTTGCTGCTGCTGGTGTTGTTGGTAGTTGTTGATGTTGATGTTAGTCGTGCTTGTTATTGTCGTTGCTGTCGTTGATGGTGTTGTTGCTGATGCTTCTGTTGTTGATGGTGTTTTTGGTATTGTTGCTGTTTGTGCTGCTGTTGTTGTTAGTTGCCAGTTGCTGGGGTTGTTGTTGTTGGTGGTGGTGGTGTTGTTGTTGTTGTTGTTGTTGTTGTTGCTGCTGCTGTTGTTGTTGTTGTTGTTGTCGTTGTCTTTGTCGTTGGTTGTGGTGGTGGTGTTGTTGATGTTGTTGTTGTTGCTGCTGTTGTTGTTCTTGTTGTTGTTGTTGTAGTAGTAGTAGTTGTTGTTGTTGTTGTTGTTGAATTCTCATTTCTGAGGACTAGTTATTGTTGATCCCCACCGTCCGGTGCACATTGTTTTGTTCGATTGAAGTGCTCTTCCCGGGGCTCGCACCCTGTTTTTAATCAGGGAAAGTCTTGAGGGTCAAACTGTGGCGTTGGCCCGGTTTACAACAACAACGGCTCCCGCCTGATACTTCCTAACAAATTATTCCCCAATCAGAGCTTGCCTCTGTAGGGGTCCTAGCGGATACATATGGTTAGGTTAGGTTTGCCGCCGATTTTCGCCGCACGCCCGGGCGCCCAGGTGCCCCAGGGTGCCCGGGTGCCCGTCTGCCCGGGTGCCTGGGTGCCCGGGTGCCCGGGTGCCCAGGCGCCCGGGCGCCCGTGTGCCCAGGTGCTTGCGTGCCCGGGTGCTCGGGTGCCCAGGTGCCGGGTAGCCCTATAGCCCTATAGCCTTGTAGCCCTATAGCCCTAATAGCCCTATAGCCTTCTAGCCCTATAGCCCTACAGCCCCATAACCCTATAGCCCAATAGCCCTATAGCCCTATGCCCCTTTAGCCCTGTAGCCCCATAGCCTTCTAGCTCTATAGCCTCATAGCCCCATAGCCCTGAAGTCCTTTAAACAATAGGACTGGCGATGTACCACCGGATCGCGGCTCCCGCTCGATATTTCCTCACAATTTATTCCCCAATCAGAGCTTGCCGCCGTAGGGGTCCCAGCGGATTCATATGGTTAGTTTAGGTTTGCCGCCGATTTTCGCTGCACGCCCGGGTGCCCGGGTGCCCGGGGGTGCCCATGCGCCCGTCTGCCCAGGTGCCTGGGCGTGCCCGGGGGTGCCCGGGGGTGCCCAAAAGCCGTATAGCCTTACAACTGTATAGCCATATAGTTCTATAGCCCTATAGTTCAATAGCCCTATAGCCCCCTGGCCCTATAGCCCTGATTGGGGTTTTCCTCCGGTCTCATTGAAGAATCGCGCTCTCACTTTGGGATCCCGCGCTCCTCTCGACACTGTTGCAGTTCTCATTATCCTCCCGCCCCATTCTCCCAACATCCCGCTTCTTTTCAGGGTTTCACGAAATTTGTTTCGGACACCAGTTCGCAGCTGTACGTCCCCCCGTGGGGGTATCCACGATATGTTGTTGTTGTTGTTTTCAAAGGTACGTGGCGCTGTGTATGGCGGGACTCGTGGCGAAACTTATTGTTATCCTGTGTTGGAGTGGGGCTGGCGCGAGCCATGGCGCAAGCTGAAATCGCCACTTACAGCGCAAATCCTCGTCCTCCCTCCTTCTTGCCCCTTCCCTTCCCTTACTCCGATCCCTTCGCCATCATTTTCCCCCGTTCATTCTTACCTTTCGTTTTCATGGGCTTCACGGACCGCGCGTGGCAGGGAATGACTATACCCCCCAAGAGGGGGCACGATCGAAGACGAAGAGGGCGGGTACCCAGGGTTTGGGATATGCGTATTGAATGACACGCGAGCAGATAAGAGCGAACAGTTTTAAAATGATTGTTGATGTGGTTGTTGTTATTGGGGTTGTTGTCGTTGTTGTGTATGAGGTTATCGATGATGGTGTTGATGATGGTGTTGATGCTGTCGTTGCTGATGTTCTTATTGTTGTTGTTGGTGTTGGTGTTGGTGTTGTTGCTGTTGTTGCCGTTGTGAGCGTTGCAGCTGTTGCTGCTGTTGTTGGTGTTGGTGTTGGTGTTTTTGTTGTTGTCGTTGTCGTCCCTCCCGCGACCTGGGCCGCGACCTGGGCCGCGGACCACCCGCGACCATCGCGCGATCCATCCGCAACCCACCCGCGACCCACCCCGCGACCCGCCCGCGACCGACACGCGACTCACCCGCGATCCACCCGCGACCCACCTACGACCCACCTGCGACCCACCCCGCGACCCACCATATTGCTTGAACGAAAAAATCGGCGCCTGTGGCGGGCTCGTTGTAGAACTTGTAAAAATTTGGCGCCTGCGGCGGGCTTCTTCAGAGCGCCGCATACTGCCGACCTCCCCCCCGCCCCTCTCACTCTTCTCCGCAACTGCAGGGTACTAAGTGTTTTTTGTCCGCAGCATCCGCCGCGTTACATCGCCGACGACAGCTTCGACTACGATTGCGATTACGACTACGACGACTACTTCTACTAATGCCTCAGAAGAGCTCTCACGGATTTGGAGGAGAATGACGAGGTTTTCGGAGCAGTTAAAGAGTTAAATACCTTTAGCGGTTACAGGGCCCGGGGACCATCACAGGTCGATCCGGCTCGGAATTCGAAGAATAATGTCTGGGTCTGCGTAGGGCTCCGGCCGTGTTTTTTTCGACGCTGCATTTTGTTGTTCGCAACGTCAGTTCCTTGGGTTCGACGTTTTCTGACGTTCTCATCGGTTCCCGGGAGGTTGTCAGTCTGCTGCGCCTCGCCGAGGACCTTCGGGTACCCAGACGCCCCGAAGGGCCGCCAGAGGCCCGAGGTGTGACCCGAAACCCAAGCTCGACGGCGCGCCGAGGGATGAAGAGAGAGGGGCAGGCCTTCTCAGAACGTGCCCTCGTTCCGGGTAGTTTCGCAGCGCCGCGCCCCGACTCCCTCCCTCCTAAGGTTTCCGCGTCCTCCTCCTGCTGCTGCTGCTGCTGCTGCCTTTGCTTCTGCTCCTCCACTTCCAACTCCTCCTTCTCCTCCTCCTCCTCCTCCTCCTCCTCCTCCTCCTCTTCCTCCTCCTCCTAGTCCTCCTCCTCCTCCTCCTCCTCCTCCTCCTCCTCCTCCTGCGCCTCCTCCTATTCCTCCACGTCCTCCTCCTCATCATCATCATCATCATCATCATCATCATCATCATCATCATCATCATCATCATCATCATCATCATCATCATCATCATCATCATCCTGCGCCTCCTTTCTATTCCTCCACCTCCTCCTCCTCCTCTTCCTCCTCCTCCTCCTCCTGCTCCTCCTCCTCCTCCTCTTCCTTTTCCAGAACCGTACTGGATCAGGTCGCCTTGCCGCCGGGCTGCGCCGCGCCGCGCCGCGCCTCCCGCCTCGCCTCCGATGCCGGGTTCGACCAAGGCGGCACGCGCCGTGGCGCCACTGGAGGCCTCGCGTGGGGCCCTGATGGCGGTCCACGCGGCCGCGGGCTTGGCCGCCGCAGGAGGGATGCGTGACTCGGCACGCCTCCTGCGTGCGGCGGAGGGGTTCGTCCGCACGGCTGTGGCCGAGCTGGTCGGGCAGCCCACCCCTCCCGCCGAGGTCGGCGCGGGTCCCCAGGCGGTGCCGCCTCGGCGCCGTCGCCCGCGCGGCCGCGGTGGTCGGATGGAGGTGGACTCGCGCTTCCAGCTGCAGGACGTCGTGGAGGAGAAGCCCCTGGGTGGCGGTGCGGCGGCGACGGCGGCGGCGGGCGTGGGGGCCCCCGCCGACGGCGGCGTGGCGGGTGCGGCGGCGGCGGCGGCGGCGGAGGCGGTGGTCCAGGAGGACATGAAGCTCCCCTCCGACGTCGACGACGACGAGTGGGCAGATGAGGTGCCCCCGAGGCGCACCCCGCACATCCTGCGGGACGGCGACCGCGTTCGTCTTCGAGATGGGCGCCAAGGGTCGGCGTACGGCGATCCCAACGACGGCGTCGACCCGCACGGCTTCGTGTGCGTCCTGGTTGAGAGCGGCCGCCGCGCGACGGTGTGCGAGGTCGCCTTCGAGGACGCGCAGCCCTTCGTGGACGGTGCTGCCGCTGGGGCGGCGGCGGAAAGCTGCAAGAAGGGCAAGGGCAAGAAGAAGCGGTAAGTCCGACGCGGAGCTCGTCGGCGGCTCCTTCGTGCTCCTCATCTGAGGAGGCGCCGAGCGCCGAGCTGGCGACGCCGCTGGCTCCCGCGCTGAGTGCCCGCGGCCGCGGGCGCTCGGGCGCGGCGGCCCCCGAGGGGGCGACCCGCGACCGCGGGAGTGTCTTCTTCTTATTCTCCTCTTCCTTTTCCTCCTCCTCCTCCTCCTCCTCCTCCTCCTCCTCCTCCTCCCTCTCCTCCTTCCCTGCCCCAGGGCCATTTCGGCACGCCCTTCGCCCGGGCCCTTCGGCCAGAGTGACAGGGTCTGCGTGCGGCCCTTTGCCACTGGCACACCCCTCATGGAGCGCGCACTGGGAACCGAATGCCCTTGCGGACAAGCTCATGCGCGGGCCTCCGCCCGAGTCGGCACACCTCTCGCGCGGAGCGTGCCCCACAGGGGGTTCCACCTGAGGCTTCGGTGGGTGCGCTCACGCGTGTGTCTCCGCCGAAATCGTCAGACCTCTCAAACAGATCGTGGCCCACGGGGAGTTCAGCGCGATTGTGCCCGCCCGCTCCGCGGCTTCCTCCCCGCACTGGCCCGCGGCGCGCAGCACATGCAGAGAGGGCCACGCCCTGCGCTGTACGCAGCTGCATCGGGTTTGGGGCCCTTCGCCATGCTACTTCTCGAAAGGTTCTCGGAATGACCAGCGGGGAGGAGGAGGACGAGGAGGAGGATACGTATAATACTAATAATTATAGTAGTAGTAGTAGTAGTAGTAGTAGTAGTAGTAGTAGTAGTAGTAGTAGTAGTAGTAGTAGTAGTAGTCGTAGTCGTAGTAGTCGTAGTCGTAGTCGTAGTCGTAGTCGTAGTCGTAGTCGTAGTCGTAGTCGTAGTAGTAGTAGTAGTAGTAGTAGTAGTAGTAGTAGTAGTAGTAGTAGTAGTAGTAGTAGTAGTAGTAGTAGTAGTAGTTAGTAGTAGTAGTAGTAGTAGTAGTAGTAGTAGTAGTAGTAGTAGTAGTAGTAGTAGTAGTAGTAGTAGTAGTAGTAGTAGTAGTAGTAATACGAATAAGAATACTAACAACAATAATATTCATAATACGAATACTCAGAATACTAATAATTATAAGTTGGAGGAGGAGGAGAGGAGGGAGAGGGACGAGGAGGGAGATGTTGCTTCTGACGTTCTAGGTGGCCTCTGCAGGGTTTCCTAGGTGCCGAGAGCGGGAAGAAGACAAAGAGGAGGAGGAGGCGGAATTAGAGGAGGAGGAGGAGGAGGAGGAGGAGGAGGAGGAGGAGGAAGTGGAGGAGGAGGAGGCGGAGGAGTAGGAAGCGGAGGGCGGACAGGAGAAATGGGAAAGAGCAGGAGGAGGAGGAGGATCAGGACGGGGACCTTGATGAAATGAGGAAGGAGAAGGAGGACTATTTGTTTCGAACGCCACCTCTTGACAACCAGGACTGCGCTCGAGGTTTGGGATTCAGACTTCGTGCGCCTTCCTCTACAATACTTTATTGAATCGCCTCGCTCATTCCGCCACCCCATATCGAAGACGCCTACGGCGAATCACCGCCGCCCCCTGCCCTTTCGGAAGCGCCGATGCGGCCGACTGCTGTGGCCAGAGGTCTGCCAAGTTATTGGGCCATATGTTCCCCGAATCGGTCTTTACAGCCTTCGGGGAACACGTGGGGGAGGACGGGGAGGAGAGGAGAGATAGGAAGGGGGGCAATGGAGGAGGAGGTCTCTTGAGTGCCTTTGTGGCTACTCTGGGTTTATCTTGGGCCGTCTTGGGTGCATATTGGAGCCATCTTACCCGCCTTGGAGGCCATTTTGGCCGTCTTGGAGGCATCTTGGAGGCCATCTTGGGCCATCTTGGCCGTCTTGGAGGCCATCTTGGGCGTCTTGGAGGCCTCTTGGGCCGTCTTGAGGCCCTCTTGGGGCCTTCTTGGGGGCCTCTTGGGCCGTCATGGGGCCATCTTGGAGGCCTCTTGGGTGCTGTTGGGGCGATGTTGGGGACCTCATGGGCCGTCTGGGGCCGTCGGAGAGCTGAAAAGAAGAACATGCCAAAATCCTTCAAAAACCTAAGGAAAATCAATGATTTTAACCTATTCGGGCCTTCCTGGAGGGCGTCTTGGAGGGCTCTTGGGCCGTCTTGGAGGCCTTTTGCCGGCCTTTTGGGCCGTCTTAGACCATCTTGAGGCCATCTTGGGCCGTCTTGGGTGCATCTTGGAGCCATCTTACCCGTCTTGGAGGCCATCTTGGCCGTCTTGGAGGCATCTTGGAGGCCATCTTGGGCCATCTTGGCCGTCTTGGAGGCCATCTTGGGCGTCTTGGAGGCCTCTTGGGCCGTCTTGAGGCCCTCTTGGGGCCTTCTTGGGGGCCTCTTGGGCCGTCATGGGGCCATCTTGGAGGCCTCTTGGGTGCTGTTGGGGCGATGTTGGGGACCTCTTGGGCCGTCTTGGGCCGTCGGAGAGCTGAAAAGAAGAACATGCCAAAATCCTTGAAAAACCTAAGGAAAATCAATGATTGTAACCTATTCGGGCCTTCCTGGAGGGCGTCTTGGAGGGCTCTTGGGCCGTCTTGGAGGCCTTTTGCGGGCCTTTTGGGCCGTCTTAGACCATCTTGAGGCCATCTTGGGCCGTCTTGGGTGCATCTTGGAGCCATCTTACCCGTCTTGGAGGCCATCTTGGCCGTCTTGGAGGCCATCTTGGGCGTCTTGGAGGCCTCTTGGGCCGTCTTGAGGCCCTCTTGGGGCCTTCTTGGGGGCCTCTTGGGCCGTCATGGGGCCATCTTGGAGGCCTCTTGGGTGCTGTTGGGGCGATGTTGGGGACCTCTTGGGCCGTCTTGGGCCGTCGGAGAGCTGAAAAGAAGAACATGCCAAAATCCTTGAAAAACCTAAGGAAAATCAATGATTTAACCTATTCGGGCCTTCCTGGAGGGCGTCTTGGAGGGCTCTTGGGCCGTCTTGGAGGCCTTTTGCGGGCCTTTTGGGCCGTCTTAGACCATCTTGAGGCCATCTTGGGCCGTCTTGGGTGCATCTTGGAGCCATCTTACCCGTCTTGGAGGCCATCTTGGCCGTCTTGGAAGCATCTTGGAGGCCATCTTGGGCCATTTTGGCCGTCTTGGAGGCCATCTTGGGCCAAGTTGGGGCAACAAAGGCATTGACAGATGGATTTTCGGAAACTTGCGGGTGGCCGGCGGGACGGGCCGAAGCCCACTGGGGAGTTCTTTTAGAATAAGAACCAAAACCAAAACCTGAAACATCCAGCACGCCGTGCACCCCTGTGGCAAGACCACAGGGGGCGGCGGATCTAATGGCCTTCGGCCCATCCCGCCACCGTGCCCGGGTAGTGGGTCCGACGCCTCTTGGATATTCGTCCGGATTTCGTCGAGGTCTGTCAGGGGCCTCCTAGAGGCAGTTCTGAGGCTTTGGGGTGTTGTTTTGAGGCATCTGTTGGGCCTCGTGGGGCCTCTTTGGGGCCTCTTGGAACCTCTTGGGGGCCTCTTGGGGCCTCCGGGTTCCCCCTCTGTCTGTCTTGGGCGCCTCTTGGGCCGTCTTCGGGCCCTCTTGGGGGTCTCTGTCGCCGTCTTGGGGAGGTCTTGGGGACCTCTTGGGACGTGTTGAAGCGTGGGAAATTCAAAACGTGGAAAACCCACAGAACATTGATTGAAACTACGAAGCATTGATCCTTCTGACCTCTCGAAGCCCTCTTAGGAATGCTCTTGATGGCCTCTTGGGATGTCTTGGGTGCTTGTTCGGCCGACTGGAGGCCATCTTGGGCGTCTTGGACCGATCTTTCAGCGATGCGGGGCTTGCTTGGACCGGCTTGGGGCCTTCTTGGGGTCTTGAAAACTGGCCCGGGGAGTTCTGGCATCCTTGGGGGGTCCTTGTCGGGTTTCTTTCGCTCGGGGACCTCCAGAGTGTCCCGCGCGCGCGCGAAGTAGAAGTGTTCTAAACCAGTTGCAGAAGATCTTAGCAGGCCTCTGGCCCGTTGGGCCGGCGAATTCTGTGAAGGCGTCCCTGCAGCGGGCCAGTGGGCGGGTGGGGAGCCATGCACGTCCCATTGTGACCTGGGTGGCGGAGGGGAACTTAGGAGATTGACAGGAATCTTACTAGACCTATACGACCACCCTTCGGGGGATAAGGAGGTAAGGGGGGGGAGGGACCAACGTCGCACTCGATCGATCTCACTCTCGATATCACTATCGATCTCACTATCGATCTCACATTCGGTCTCACTATCGATCTCACTATCGATCTCCCATTCGGTCTCACTATCGATTTCCCCTATCGATCTCACATTCGGTCTCACTATCGATCTCACTATCGATATCACTATCGATCTCACAATCGATCTCACATTCGGTCTCACTATCGATCTCACTATCGATCTCACTATCGATCTCATAATCGATCTCACATTCGGTCTCACTATCGATCTCATTATCGATATCACAATCCATCTCACAATCGATCTCACAATCGGTCTCACTATCGATTTCACTATCGATCTCACATTCGGTCTCACTATCGATCTCACTGTCGATATCACTATCGATCTCACCATCGATCTCACATTCGGTCTCACTATCGATCTCACTATCGATCTCACTATCGATCTCACTATCGATCTCACATTCGGTCTCACTATCGATCTCATTATCGATATCACAATCGATCTCACAATCGATCTTACTATCGATCTCACAATCGATCTCACAATCAATCTCACTTTCGGTCTCACTATCGATTTCTCTATCGATCTCACAATCGATCTCACATTCGGTCTCACTATCGATATCACATTCGGTCTCTCTATCGATATCATCATCACCAACATCATCATCAGCACCATCATCATCATCATCATCATCATCATCATCATCATCATCATCATCATCAACATCAACATCAACATCAACATCATCATCATCATCGGGACACCGACGGGACACCGACGGGACACCGGCGGGACACCGGCGGGACACCGCGCGCCACCGGCCGCTCGGTGGAGAATCATTTGGTCCGGCCGCGCCTCAGCCACAGGACACCACCGGGACACCGGCAGGACACCGCGCGCCACCGGCCGCCCGGTGGAGAATCATTTGGTCCGGCCGCGCCTCAGCCACAGGAGACTTTCCTCTCGCCCGCCCACGCAGCTTCGCCTCGCCCGCACGCACGGCACGCACGAACACGAAACCGAAATCGATTTCCCGGAAGGGGGGCTCTCCGTTCCACTTCGATCTCACCCCCTCACCTCCGATAGTACCTGGCATTCTCGCACGCCCGCAACGTGCTGGCACTGAGGCGGACCCGATTCCTGTAAACGGCGCAGGTACTGCAGCACGAAGAACACTGCGCGCGAATATGGAACCGCGCTCCATTCGAACAGTGCTGCTCGATGGATGCAATATCCAACCCTTGAGCGCAGACATGGTTTGAGCACGTGCAGAAAGCGCTCCCGTAAATCTCCTCCTTCGGTCTTGGAGGGCCTGCGGCAGATTTTCGCAGGGGAAAGGAGGGGGGGTCGGAAGGGCACGGGAAGGAGAGGAGTTGATGAGGTTGAGGTGTAGGTGGGATGAGGAGGCAGGAGGGAGGGAGGAGCAGGAGGAGAAGTAGCGATGGGGAAGAGGAGGATGAGACAGGCGGAGGAGGAGGAAGAAGAAGAAGAAGAAGAAAAAGAGAAAAGAGGAGGAGGAGGAGGAGGAGGAGGAGGGTGAGGAGGAGGAGGGTGAGGAGGAGGAGGAGGAGGAGGGAGGAGGAGGAGACGGGGGAAGAGGAGTGGTGACGTGAGGAATGGGATGGGGGAGGAGGACCCTGTGCCCTGGCGACGCGCGCCACAGCCCGCCGCGCCCTCAGGCCGCGCCAGGCTGAGCGCGCGTGCGCCCAGACGTCGCGCGCAGGGGCCGACAACACGTAGGAGTGGCCCACCGCCGGCAGGTCCAGGAGGAGGAGGGGGTGGAGGAGGAGGAGGACGAGAAGGAGGAGGAGGCGGGGGAGGAGGAGGATAATGATAGAGGACGAGGATCGAGGAGGAGGATACTAGAGGAGGATGAGGAGAAGGAGGAGGCGGAGGAGGAGGAGGAGCCAGCCTACACAGGCCAGCCTTACAGCGTAAGCATCAGCAGGTACAGCCGTCGCCATCCACTGCCACACATCTTTGCCTGTTATATATCCTCTCTCCCTCCTGCATCTTCTAGCCATAGGGCAGCACGTCACTTACAGTCTTTAGTTTGCCTCCTTACAGCCAGGCCAACTTAGTGCATCACAGCTGCCAGTCCTCTCTTACGTGGCTTGGATTTTTATTGCTTGGTCTTCTTAATACAGCCCCAGCCTCTTGCGTGCCAATGCCATCGGCCAGGCAGCGCCGGCCTAGCAGCGTCCTGATGGCGGGGATCTGGCGGGTACGAGGGTGGAGGTTGGGGTGCGTGCCGCGCGTGATGCTACACGCGGCATGCCTTCATCCTGTCCCACGCGACAGTACGTGGACAGCCACACTCGGCCAGTCTTCTCGAGTGCCTGCTCATTGCTCACTAGATCATTTGCTAGCTGACCTATCTATTTGGGTTGGGATGGTGGCGGGCCTTGATTGGGGGACGAGATCGGGTTGCGAAGCGAAAAGCACGTGATGCTATTCACGATGTGTTTTTTTTCTGTCCCAGCCATATTCGGCCAGTCAGCTTCGGTGCCTGCTGATTGCTCACCTCTACCCTTCGATCGCTAACCTTCTATTGGTCGAGGCACTTAGCTTCCTCGCAACACCTCAGTAGCATTTCGCTGTCAAAGCAGCCGCTACTCGACAGCTTCTCTTTGCGCAGCCTACGCGGTTTCAATTACGCACTTTAGTCGTGTTCGTTTGTTATTTCGGGAACCCCTGCACACAGAGAGTGTCCCCACCCAACTGCTACAGGCCAATCATCCTTATCTTGCCAGTACACTGTCTATCACACTCGCTTGGTTCTTTACGCTTAGCTGCGCGCTCTCATTCACATCACAGGCCAGCCTACTCAGTGTTAGCCTCAGCAGGCTCTACCTTCAGGGGGGGTACAACAGGCACAATGGTGGCCACAGTGACGGGGGACCCCCCCCAAGAAATTGAAACGGTGAAAAGGGCCTCCACCCGAGGAGCCGAAAAAAAGTAGCAGCCCAAGAAATGTGTTTTGTTCCTCTCTCTCTCTCTCTCTCTAGAGGGCCAGCCAGCCCAGCCTGTGCCAGCCCCGGCACAACTTGCGCGCCCCTCTCTTACTCACCTCGCCTTGCCTCAACATACTAATGTGCACTCTCTTTTTTTTCTCACCGCGTCACAGCTTGCCTGGATGAGCTGAAGCGGGAGGTGGCGCTTTTGCTATAGGGTACGGGGAGCACCGAGGAACTACCAGGCTTAGCGGATGATTGCGGCATGGCGGGCGCTTGCTCGAAGGTCCAAGGGCCATGCTCTCTTTTCGCGTATATTGGCCCTTCCTATTCTTGCTGCGCCCGCCAGGCCTATTTTTTTGCACTTTGCCGAAGGCAGCAATCTGCAAGTGATTTGTTCCTTTCGCACGGCTCGCTCCATGCTGCAGCATTCAGTCCGAGCAGCGTCAAACAAGGAGGAGGAGGAGGACGAGGAGGAACATGAGGAGGACGAGGACGAAGACGAGGACGATAAGGAGGAGGAGATAGATCATCCCATATTGTTCCAGAGCGCTGCTGGAGCGTTCGGGAACGCTCTGAGACAGCCGCGGCGCCTCATATATCCTCGAGGGCCGCCAGATCCCAGAGACCTCCGATTTATCCTGGTCCGATTTTGCCCCGATCCTGACTTCGTCTTAGTCCCCCGCCCGCTGAACTCGATGCGACGGCAGCGGCTTGCGCGCCTGGGTCTGGCCACCCCGTCGCGCTCCCCAAGAGCCGGGCGCGCAGGAGGGCACTCCTGCCTGCGTGGGGTACCTCTGTGCGCGTGGCCGAGCGGGCGCGAGAGGAAGAGCGCGGCGAGGGGAGGAGGATCGAGGAGGACGGTTGCGGGAAGGTTTCTCGCCACTTGGGGTCTTCGGAGACCCCTCCGGGCCGATGAATATCAGAGGGGTCCGTGGGCAGATTCTAAGCGGATGCCGGTCGAGGGAGGGAAGTTGGGAGCACGAGGAGGGGGAGGAGGAGGAAGAGGAGGAGGAGGAGCAGGAGGAGGAGGAGGAGGAGGAGAAGAAGGAGGAGGAGGAAGACGAAGAGGAGGCGGAGAGGAGGAGGAGGAGGAGGAGGAGGAGGAGGAGGAGGAGGAGGGGGAGGACAGATGGGGAGTGCCCATGGCTGTTTTGGTCAAGGCCGTTGGAGACTCCCGGAGAGTCTTGGGCCGCAGCCGCAGGCATTCTCCCGCTTTCGGCCGTCCCCGCCCGGTGGCTCGCGATCAGGCTGCCAGCCTCATTGGACGGCGTGCCCCTGAGTGCGCCCAGGCGTCGGGCAAGGCCCCCCCCGCTGGTTTGGAGGTGATCGGTTTCTTTTTCCCCATATCCTAAGGATTGGGGTTCTTGTTATTACTCTGACGCCTCCCACTGCTCCTCCTTCCTCCCGCTCGCGCCTCCCTCCTCCCAATGATAATCACCAGATAAGACAAGACAAGATAAGATACTACAAGATAAGATAGCACAATATATGATAAGGTAAGATAAGATATATGACAAGGTAGGATAATAGATAAGATAAGACAGCCTATGGAGTAATAAGATAAGACAAGATATGATGCGATAAGATGAGTTGATATAAGATAAGCTAAGACAAGATAAGAGATTTCAAGATAAGATAAGATAGAGGGTAATAAAGGTAAGATAAGATAGGACTCGATAAGATAAGATGAGACTCACTCTCACTCAGACTCACTCACAGTCACATTCACTCACACTCACACTCTCTCATGATCACAAAACGCTGCCAGGGGCATCATTTGGGAGCCCCAAGGGGGAGCCACCCTGGCTGATCTCACGAGCCCGTTCGCGCCGATTTTGGTGGGACGTCTCAGCTAGAATTGCCGTTTGGCCTCCCCAACATGTCTCTCTTGAGAGCC